AAAATTATTCCGACCTGAGGTTAGTGGAGCTTCAGGTATGGACTAGATTCATCAGTGGTGGGTGAGTTCCTGGGAGGTGGAAGAGATACTGTTGTGTAATTAACCACTACCGTGTACTTCCATGCCCCTCCACCATCTCCCACAACCCGGTGCCCAGCTCAGTGCGTCCGTTATACACTCACATGTGTTCCATCTATCAGAAGCTTCCCTGGGCTTCTGCATTGCTGCCCCAGGGCCAGCTCTCCTGGAATAGTGAGAAGTGGGAGGCAGAGGTAGACACCGCAGCTCCCCCAGCATACTCCAACCTCACCTTCCCTAAACAGTCAGTATCTGTGGTAAGCTGGACACTGAGCAAAAGGCGGCCCTGGAGAAACCCACAGGCTGGCTACTAAGACAAGGTGTATGGGAGCAGATACCGCATTGCAGAAGTTCTCTTGTTGGTAAGGGTCATGGAAACCATCGCCTCTTGTGAGGCTTGTGCTCTAAGCAATTGCCAGTTTGCAAGGAGATTCTCACCTTTGGGTGAGCAAGTTTTCCTCTAAATTAGTTAATATTTGAGGTCCTAAATTATAAGCATGAGTGGCCATTATTGGGACCTGTGGATGCCCAGGCCACAGTTTGGTCCAAGTAGTAAGCGAGACCAGCTGATATCAGCAGAGCCTCAGTGGCGGAGCCAGCCTGTTCCAGGCTTCACGAGTGGCTTTCTGGCCAGTAGGCATCAAGTAGCTGCAAGTGGAAGGACCTAACCTTGAGAGGACAGTTGTGAGTGCATGGAAGGAAAGTCTGGGGGTCCCAGGAATGACCAGGTGAGACAACAGCAGAAGACACCTGTGGTGAACAGAAGGAGGCCCTGAAATCTGAGTTACTACTGTCATTGAGACCTCATTTTGCCTAACAGCTAGTGTGGCCCCAAGAAACACAGGTAACAGTAGAAAGTCGTAAAAGTGACAGCCAAGAAAATGGATTTCGGAGCATACATGGAACACCTCTGGAGGCACCCAGAACAAGTTAAGAAGACTCTGGGGGTCTGATGTTCCCACAGTTGTGGGCAGAGAGGGACCCAGAGAATTGCTTTTTACTGTGCTTCTGACCCTACTGTGCTCCTCTGAGCCTCTGTCTTCTAGACTGGAGAAAGGATTTCACTGGGATGTCCAAGCCCTGGCTTCTCTTGGTGCAGGACCTGACTTTCCAGCTCCTCTCAGGGACGACACTGCCTCTGAACCCAAATTCTAGGTCTAGGAAGGAGGTGCTTTCCAGGCCCAAGGGGCCTCAAGGGGCAACAGATATTGAGAGCAAATTCGGACGTGTGCGATATATCATATTGTTTGCTGAGAGTGGCAGCAAGGAAAACCCAGTCAGCCCCCGAAAGCAGAAAACTGCACCCCAAAGCAGAAAATTGCTCAAAGCATTATAAAACAGTAACCAATATGAATACGTATCACACCAGATGAATTAGTTCTTTGAACACAGGATATGTAACTTTGCCTCAATTGTTCCCTTGTAAAGTATGTTTCTAGTTTATCTTTAACCTATAGTAAATATACACTAGCTACCTGGTTAGTTTACCTTTAACCAATGAAAGAACACAGAGCACCCACTTGTAAAACTTGTCACTGAAGTAAAGAATAAATACGTGGGTCAGAGTCTGCTCCGGGCTCTCAGCTGGAAATGCTGGAAGGCCTCTGATGCCCCAATCTGATCACCCACCTTTTACTTTCTCTCTGTTTCTTAATTCCTTCAGTGCCGCCTGGGTTAGGGTCTCTACGGCTGAGCTGGTCTCGGCAAACAGAGACTTAGACCAGGGCTGAGCACCCTCAGCGCACCAAAAAAAAGCCTCTTCCATGTGGGGAGAGTGAGACTTGGTAGACAGTTCCAGGGTCCTGGGCCAGGAAGGTGAAAGGGACTGCTGCCATGGCCCACACAACCAGCAACACATCCAAATCCAAAGATATGAAATCAGTTAAGAATTGAGATGCAGCTCAGGGCTCAGTGGGAAAGCATCTGCAACTGATCAGTGAGGTCCACTGGGAGCTGGAGGATATAGGTGACTGCAGACACTTATAGCAGCTTCCTGTCTGACTCTGTGAGCTCGGCCAAGAGACTCTGACGCCCGTGTTCCTTCCCAGCTCTAGGGCAGAGTGTGAGAGACACTGAGCAGCAAGGAGGCCCTTATGCATGAGGACAAAACCCTCTTCCGTTGGAGGAGCCCTCAGCAAGTACTTGCCCGCTCTCCCAGTGCAAGTCTTCAAGTTCAGCTGTGAAGCCTCTTCCCTGTCGCTAAGCAGTCGCCCTAGTGCTAAGAGAGGTCCCTTTTAGCTGCTCCAAAGCATGGGGCTGAGCCTTTCTCCCCAAAACCCAGACCTTCCTGGGCTGGTCAGCAGCCTCCCCTGCATGGTCCGCTCCCCTCCTCACCCTGCTCGAACCTTATCTGCATTTAACACCCCTTATTGGGCTGTGGCAGAGAATACTCAACAGACTCATATTAAAAATGCCCTTTAAAATTCAAAAGCTTTGAACTAAAGAAATACCTTGAGAAGTTTTCATGGAAAGTTCAGCTCTGCCGGTTCAATTCACTACACTTAGATGCACCTTTTCAAATAATAGGGAAAAAATGTAACAGGGTCAGACCCAATCAATACACTTGTTCAAACAGAATTGCAGGGACTGTGATGTGCGCACATTTTGTACTCTGCCTTTGTACCCCGCCACTCACTCTGAAGAAAGGTTTCTTTGCTAGGAGAGCAATGAAAGTGGTAGCCTTTTGAGTGGAGGTGGCAAAGCCATGGCGTGTTTACCGGTCCGGGAGGGGCTCTGCCATTTTTCATGTCTTCCCCAGCCAGATCTCTTTGTTCTTTTCATAACGGTGCACAACCCATATGGGCAAAGTCCCTTGCACACCCCAGCGTCTGATGCAAAGTCAGAAGCAGAGGGCTCCCAGCATTTGTCTGCCATGTCTCAGAAATGTGATTTGGGGATTACACAAATAATTTGCTTCTTCTTTCCCACCCTTGGTGAGAACACAAAAGGACTTGCCAGGGAGTCCTATGCTGTGCTTGTGGGAAATACCCAAAGCCCAAAACGGGCTTTTGTCTGGACAAGCCTGAGCCAGGGGCTGCTCCACTCCCACCCCCTGACCCCTTCAGGCCCCTGGAATGAAATGTGGGCAGATAGATGATTGCCTGGCCATGACCTGCAACCTAAAATAAAAAAGAAAATTCTAGAGAAACCAGCTGACCTGAAGGCAGCCAAGGGGTTAGAAAGGCAGAAAGGGGCTAGCTGAAGTTTACACTCTCAGAGCAGGCACCAAGGCTGGGAGGAAAGTGAATGATGGAGAAAACGAAACACTTGTTTTCATCATCTCCACCAGTCTGGGCACAGCTACTCCATGTGGACTCACAAACCCTACCTACGACTGTCATCGTCTGAACGATGTTCTGGACATGTTGAGAATCTTGGCTGCTCAGGAGGTTCAGGTAGGCATTAGGAGAAGATGTTATTCCTAATCCGTTTCATACTAGATCCTAAAACGTTATTGTTGGTTCTTGCTAAAACTAGACATCCGGGGCTCAACGTGGACCTGGTTAAAAGTTGGAATTGAGGAGTGGACGCCAGCAAATGGATGCAGAAGTGTGCTCACTTCCCCTTCGTCGACCGCAATCTCGTTGTTTAAAACACTGCTCAGGCCCTGGGGTCTCCTGGAAGGAAGGGAAATTGGAATCACGAGGCCACACAGCATTCCCCAGAGTCCTCCCCACCCTGTAGTGTCACTGGCCAGCCAGCACTGTCACAGACGGCCCGGCCCCATCTTACCTCAGGTAACAAGAGTGCTCTCAAGGCTGGTCCACATCACCTGTTATGCACGATGGAGCTGCAGCGTGCCTTTTTTGATCACGCATGCTTTCCGCCGACTCTGAGTTGAAGGCCTGTCACACACTCACACACTCTGTAGATTGAAATCTGGGCCTCAATTCGTATAGAACAGACTACCCATCCTCCCTGATGGCACACTCTGAAAAGAGCAGTAAGGTAGGGGGTTGCTGCATTCCCACTTACACAGGATTATATGTGTGAGACAGAAAGAGCAACAGTAAAAAAAAAAAAAAAAAAAAAAAAAAAAAAAAATCTACAGATGGCCACCCAGTGGGGTGGGTACTATCTCCTGTATGGTTTCTTTTTTGCTTTTGGGGGGCTTTGCACTCAGTTATGAAATCATTCTCACCACCCCCACCCCCCTTCATTTGTTATTGTGACATCTCCAAGTAATGCTTAAAACCAAAGAGTACATTTTATTTTAAAATTCAAAGAGATCAGTAGCTAAAAAAGCAGCAGTACTCCCTGTTCGGAATGCCTTGGAATCTGCTTTCCCCAGTTTAAATAGTTGGAAAGTCACCACCAACCTCGAATGCTCCTCTTGGCAGTAGAGAAAAACTGCTATAACAAGAAGCTTGGAAATGCACACACCCCTCAATGGAACTGGCTTCTTGCCTTCTGTTTTGAGCATACATCACAAGTCAAAATGAATTAAACACAAATCCAGTTTGCAATGGTCCGTCACTAAGCTGCTTCCCTGGAGCGGGCCGGCAGCGTGTGGGTTGGAAGGGGGCCCACAGCATCCCCTGCGCTGTCTTGAATTGGACTGCAGTCTGTCTGCCAAACCAGCCCCATGAGGGAGTCCACAGCCCGCCGGCTCTCTGACTGGGATGGGGGTGGGGGGGTCCTTGACCGGGATTGGGTAGGTGGGGCTCGTTGACTGGAATGGGGTAAGGGGTTGCCCTGACCAGCTGTGGAAGCCTAGCCAGGGGCCCAGAAACATAGGCCTCCTCACCCCAGGCCTCCACAGTCAATCAAATGTCAAGGATCTGTCACCAGAAGAAACTTTTCATAGGTGAGTACAAGCAGGGCCGAGAGCTGACAGTGGGGATTTTCCAAAGAAATGGAAAAAAAAAAATGTACACAGACCACTCATGAGAGACTATAGTCTGCAAGAAGCAGGAAATGTATCAGGTTAATATTTTAATCTGTACATCACATTTTTTTTTTGCAAACCATTACATTTTTAAATTAACTTTTTCTTGCAAAATATTTGATTCATTTTTTTTCCAAGAAAATCTTATAAAGGCAAAAATAAAATTTTATTTGGCAAATGTCATGAAGTCGATACTGGCAGCATATGGAGTTAGTTAAAAATAGACGGCAACTGCTAAATATATTCAAAATTCTATTTTTTTTTTTTCTGAGCATAGTCAAAGAGAAATTTTCATTTAAAGTGTGGCTCCACCCAACGGAGGTTTTTGTTGTTGTTGTTGTTTTTCCATTTAAACATCATTTTCTATTTGCAGAATAATATAAGAACACAACTTAAATAAAGGGCCACAAGCACTGTACCTGGCTTGGTAGCCCCCCCTCCTCATGTGCGGCTGGAAGTCAAGTCCTGCCATTATGGCCCTGCCAGCAGCAGGCCATCAGAGATGGTGGGGGCACACTGCTGCCTTCCTGCCACCAGACCTGAGTCCTAGGGAAGCCAACTGGGGTTTTCCAAGGGCAGGCAGGGAAGGTTCCCAACATGGCCTGGTTGGAGGGAAGAGATTTCTAGGTAGATGTCACCCAGTGTGGAGTTTATTGCTATGATACAATGAAAGTTGCTTCCTCTCACCTTTTCTGTACTTCAGTGTGTACTGTTAAAAATGAAAGCAGGCTGGGTGCGGTGGCTCCTACCTGTAATTCCAGCACTTCGAGAGGCTGAGGCAGGTAGATCACCTGAGGTCAAGAGTTCAAGACCAACCTGACCAACATGGAAAACCCCCGTCTCTACTAAAAATACAAAATTAGTTGGGCGTGGTGGCACATGCCTGTAATCCCAGCTATTCAGCAGGCTGAGGCAGGAGAATGCTTGAACCCAGGAGGCAGAGGTTTTGGTGAGCTGAGATAGCACCATTGTATTCCAGCCTGGGCAACAACAGTAAAACTCCGTCTCAAAAAACAATGAAAGCAAACTGCTTTTTCCTTTCTGACAAGAGCCCTTTGCTGAGGGAAGCCTGTGGGCAGGTTGTGGGCCCCAGTGCTTTTGAACACACTGTTGCCCCTAAGCCAAACCCAAGGGCCAAGATGCAGACTTGGGCTCTAGGTGCCATCCTGGTGGAGTTTCACACAGAGCTGGTCATCAGGTCAGGGACAGCTGAGCTCTGCAGCCAAGGGCCCTTCTTCTCCTAGACAGCACGCCAACCATCCTGACGCTGGAATCCACTGGGAATGCCTCTTCAAATCCCACTTTCTCCTGAGGTCGTTCGAAGTTGAACTGTCCTCTGCTTGCCCTGCCCTTTCCCCCACCTACACCTGTCACCCAAAAGTACCTGAATCTGTAGGTGCAGCTGCAAAGTCCTGCATCCTCACCCTCCCTGCCACTCAGCCCTTGAGGTGAACATTAGAAAATAGATTCCAATTTTAAAATACAGTGTATTTTACAGTGTGTATCAAAAGTGCCTTTGCTATTCATATGTAGAGAGGAGTCTGAGCTAAACTAGTGGGTGCGTGTCAGGGCCTCGCCTGTGGTGAACACCCGAAGTCAGTAAGCTGCTCCTTCCTCCAGCCAGATTTCCCTGCCCAGCCGGAGGCAGTTTCCTTGGGGGAAGAAAGGTTGATCTCCTTGGAGGAAGCTGGTTCCACTGGGCCCCTGGCTCCAGGCTTCTCTGTATACTGGGTCACGGGTCAGTCACTGCCTGGGCTGCCAAAAAGCACAGGAGACAGTGAGAGGCTGGCAGGAGCCCTGCTCACATCCAGGGAGGGCATGTCTGCACACACACGACAGGGAATGGCAGATAGGCAGACAGACAGAGCAACAGAGCAGCAGAGCAGGAGGCTCTGGCAAATGCGGCCGCTGCTGGGGGACCCTCAGCTTCTAGGACACATGGGGCTCTCTCCCCGCCCTCCCTGCACCCCTACTCCACTGCTAGACACACGCTGTCCCCTAAATTGGGTTCCTACCCTGATAGGGCAAAGACTGTGATAAGGGTACAGTCTGGCCCCACTCATCATTCATTGAATGTGGGTAGTGCTCTTGGCCTCTGTGGGCCTTGTTTTTCTAATCTAAAAGCATGGTGGTCATACAGGGTAAGAGGGAATGCAGCACTCCAAAAAGAGCATAAAGGGCTGATCAGGAACAGAGCCTCTCTCACGCCTCTCAGTGCCTGAGCACTGTTACTGTGCTCAGATCTCTAGGAGAAAGCCACACCCTCAACCATGGCTTTTACAATGGACCTGGCTAGAGCACTTCCCTATGGCTCCTCCGTCATGGGGCCTCTACTACACAAATCCTGAGAGCCTGGCCTCTTCCTTCCATGCTCAGGCTGGCAGGGACCTGCTGGCTCTGCTGTGAGGCAGGGGGAGCACCCAGGATGGACACCTGCCAAAACATCATGCCTCACCCCCTGCAGCACAAATACTCTCTCCCTCCTTTCACTTCTTTCTCCAAACAACTAGAGCCACTGGGGGCGTCCCAGATGAATTCATGAGTGGTGATGGGGAACAAAGGCTCTGAACTTATATCAAAGGGCTTTAAACCCCGGCACTTACAAGCTGCGATTCCTTGCGCAAATCCCTCAAGGTCTCTGAGCTTTTGTTTTCTCATCTGTAAAACGGGGTGGTGGAAATATCTTTATAGGGTTGTTGTGTGGATCGAAAGAGATGCTTAGCACAATGCCTGGCACACAGCAGGCGCTCAACAACATTAACCACAAGGATATAAAGGAAGGAAAGGGAAAAGCCCTGCCAAATGACTGTCAGGGAAAGGGCTGCCCAGACCTCCAGGCTGATCTTCCCCTGTCCAGGTGAACTGATGGGCTCAGAAGCAACAGGCCCAGGCCAAGAACTCACTGGAGACTGGACCAGATGCCAGCCTCCTGGTCCAGGGCTCCCTCCTCATCCCGCTCTGCCTCTAATCATTAGATGCCCACATGGGGAGGACTTGGTAGGGGTGGTGCCAGAGCTTTCTGCCTGGCTGAGGGCCAATTTCACATTGCCCTGGGCTTCCCTTTCTCTCCCTCTTAACGTGCCCAGTGACCAAAAGGGCAGTCCCAGTCTCTGTGCTGACACCAATTCTGTGTGACCTGGAGTGAGCCCCAGCCCCTCACCAGGCTGTCTCCTCATCTGCAGAGCTGGACTTTTCCCTGTCTTACAGGTCTGCAATTTCTTTGGCCAAAGTGCTGAGAGGCCAAGATCCAACTCTTCCTTTCCAGCCCCCTGAGGCTGGCATTGTGGTCTGCACTGGTCCTCAGGCATCAGGTTGCCCTACTGAGGAGAGCAGGGGAGTCGGGGGCACAGTTCCAGTTCTAGAGATTTTAGGGAGATGGGGGGGTTGGATCACTCAGTCCCTACTGTAGTAGAGCCACTGAGGACTGAATTCCCAAAAAGCATCACTTTCCCACCTGCCTACCAGTCAGGACAGTCCCCCCAGCAGCCGCTTTACCAATGGAAGGAAGCGTCAGAGGGTGGCACTGCAATCATCTCAGCACAGCGGGGATGTCAGGGCTCAGCACTAGGGAGGGGCGGGGAGCAGGCAGAGGCACGCCAGGCAGGGACTCTTACTTGGAAGGTGTTAGACAAAGGTGTAGTGGAGTCCGTTGGTTAAAGGGGGATAAGGTGGCACTGTCCTGGAAGACAGGGGGCCTTTAGGCAGGAGGAGGGCCAGCTGCTGTGCTAGATGGGGCACACAGGAATTAAGCGGTGCGTTAGATTCATCAGCTGCTGCAGCACCAGATGCCCCATGTGGCAGGCTGGGGTGGCGTGGGCCCTGCTGCCCACCACAAAGGGCCTGGGCTTGAGGGTGAGGGACAGATCCATGGGGCCTGGTGGGGAACCAGATGGGTCAGCCTGCAGTTCCTGGATATGTTTCTGAGGCAGAGAGAGGGATCAAGAGTGAGGAAAGGCCACAGCAAAGATCATCCTTGAGTAGGGATGAGAAAGGCCCTGGGAACTGGCCGCAGCATCTTAGGGCTGGGGGCGCTCATTTGGTGGCAGTAAGGAGGCCAAGGATGGAAGACCCCCAGGGTTAGAGCAAGCAAGGCAAGAAGAGGGCATGGTATGGTGGGGGAGCCACCCCTGCTCGAACCCTCCCCGTGAGGAGGAGCTCAAAAGCTGCTGAGAATGAGACCCATGGTCATTAGAAGGAGAGGTCTGGATGAGCCATCTCCTGTGTCTCTAGTCCCAGAATGCCACACTGGGCACCTCTCAGCCCACTCAGCATGTGCTTGAAGGGACTGAGGACAGCAGGGACGTCAAGGACTCTGTGCAGGATCAGGCTGTGGGGGACAGAGAACAGGCTTTGGCTAAGACTATGGCCCCTCCCCTTGTCAGTCACTCTCACGGCCTTCTGGAGCCACAGCAAAACTCTGATCCCCAGACCAGACTCCCCAGGGCCAGGTATTGGAGGGTCCTGCTGGCCCCACCCTTGGCCACTTCTAGACCTTTGGCCAGGGTTGGAGAATTGGTAGCAGCCATGACACCACTTCAGGCTCTATGGCTTCCCCATCTCCAGAAGGAACACGCCTGACCAGGAACACCACCCAGACACACAGTGGCCTCTGCATCAGGGGAGAAATGGTACTAGGTGAATTGTGAAGGCACAAGGCACACACACACAGGCAGGTGAGCTGTGGGTGGAAGGAGGAGCCTGCAGTCTCCTTCCTGGCTGAGAAAGAACAGCCCTTTTATACACACTCACTCACTCACACACACACACACAAATACACACATAGATGCAGACACACAGAGACACACATACACAGACACACACACACACGTATGTGCACGCTCTCATGCCATGGTTTTTCCAACTGGCCTGCAAAGTCCCACTTCCCAAGTCCTATATTTTCTGGCACAGTATACTCTGACTAGAGGAACACTGGCTTTAGTTTAGAGACCAAGGCAGCGGTCCAAGCGAGGGCTGGAGGGGTCTCCTTCTGCCTTACCCTGGCGAGAAATCCAAGTATCAACCACTTTCCTGCCCGCTTGGTCAAGAGGTCAGAAACCTTAACCCCTTGGCTCCGGGCCTTGAAAAACCCTGTTCTTGGCCCACAGCCTCAGAGGAAGTGGAGTAGCAGCACTGCTCCACCTGGGGCCTTCTTCCCCTGACACTTCTGAGCTTGGTCCCCGTTTGTCTCCCTCACTGTGTGGCCTGCCCCACCCTCCTTTCCAAGTCCTGTTATGCTTATGGGATAGGATGCCCTCTGATCAGGGGAACGCAGCAATGACCCTCAACTACTATCCCTGCCACCTGATTTTCCACTGGCTCTGGAACAGGTCATGCTGGGCCCAAGCCCTGAGGTGCAGTGGGGCAGGATCCGGGCCTTGGGGGCTGGGCCATGGCCTTACCTGCCACCTGCTTGCTGCGCTGGGAGGCCTCGGAGGCCAGGGCATAGGAGATGTTGATGATGCGCTCCTGCTCCTGCAGCTTCAAGTCCAGGTCGGCCACACTGTTCCGGTCCTGGCCTGAGGTCGGCTGCAGGTTGCACATGCTGCAGGAGGGTCAGAAGCGGACCATGGGCCCTCCCGCCCTGGGCATCTGCCTCAGGAGTGGAGGGTCTCCCTGGCCTGGAGGTTCGCAACATTTTGAGGGGGATCAGACAAAAACTGTGGTACTTTCTCCCTAGACAAAGATACGTGCTTTTCCCAAACACCCAATCACAGCCTTGTTCCTCTTTTGGGAAGGCCACAGACCCCAAGTTACTGGCTCCAGCTGGAAGCTCTTATTAAATTCAGACACAAATGGCTAAGCCAGCTCTGAAAGGCAGGCTTACAAAAAAGTTAAATTTCTGAAGCTATTGAGGCTGAGGGGACAGGAAAGTCACTTCCAAGGGCCCCAGGCTAGCAGCCAGGGAAGTGGGCAATGCCTCTGGTGCCCTAGGGACAGAGCTGGGGTCACTGGCTCTGATCTACTGGTCTGCATGAGGATGCACAGGCCCAAATGCTGGGAGGACCATCACTGGAGTTGATCTCCAACTGCGTCCGCCTCACAGCCATGCCTGGCTCTACACTCTACACTTGCTAGGGTCACTTGGGACACAGAATTGGGGGTGAGAGCCCAGGACAAGAAGCCTCTACGAGTGTTGCAGGCCTTTCCACACGAGCTAGGCAGGCTTCCTTGCCGATCTGCTGGTGATGTACCAGCCTGCCCCCTTCAATGAGCAGGGCTTACCTGAGACGAAGGCCTGGCAAAACACGCACCCCAGAGAGCCTGGCCCAGGACCCACATGGTTGAGATACCAACCAGGATCAGGGTGACCTGCCAGTACTTGAGCAAGCGAGGGCTGACCTTGACCGGGCAAGGATGTTGCGGATCTTCTCGGCTTTGCGGTACCGCGCCTGCAGCTCCTCAAGGCTGGGTGGCTCTTCGGGATCTAGCTCCACGTAACGCTCAGGGATTGATACCTTCTCTGGTTTGGACAGCTGAGGAGAGGCGAGGAGGTGGCAGAGGGAGAGGCTCAGATGTCTGGGTTTAGGACTCGTTTTCCACCCCCCGCCCTGCCCTCTAAGATAGCAAAATTCGTCAGCTGTGGAATCCAGCTTTGAACTTGAGTCCGACTCCAAAGCTTGTGGTCTTTCCATTCCTACAAGCTCAGGGAAGGGAAGGGCAAAACAACTAGCCTACAAGGTCTCGGGATATAAAAAATGATCATCCTTAATGCCACCATCAAGACCCTAAGTGATCTGACCCCTGATGACCTCTCCAGCCACTGATGAACCAGTCCCTCCAGTTCCCCACCCACAGTGCAGCCTCTGTTCCTCAGTCTAGGAAGCTCTTCCTTTTGTTCCATTGACTCTCATCTTTTCAACCTCACTTTGAGAAGCCTTCTCTGATCCCCTCCGCCCCCTCACTTTCCGTTCGCCATTGTCTCCCTCTGTCTAATACGGGGACTTAGTACTTAACAGCCCTCCAACTAATTCTCCCTGAATGGATGGATAATGGATAAATGAATGATTGACAGTGGTTGAATGAAAGGATGTGATGCTCTGTCTCTACAAAAGCTCTTCTGATCTAGACAGGAGGCAGCTATGCTGAATCTACTACTTGCCAGAGGAAAATGGCCCCAAATTCCATCTCACCAGCATCTCCCATGGACCTAGCGGCAAACTTGGCTTGGTGAAAGCCTGCTTGGACTAAGAACACTGAAAGAAGCTTTTGCATGCTCCAGGAACTTTTTCCTCCCTGAATTACAAAAGCACACTAAAATGGGATGGGTTGAAGCTCCCAAAAACAAGCTTAATCCAAACCCAGGGTAAACCTGGTCATGGATTTAAACCTACACGCAGCCCTTTCACTCTGCTGGAGATGGCAAGAAATAAGCTCTTCTCTGTTACTCCAGTGAGGACAGCTTTAGAGGAAGGAAGCAGATTACATTGTAGCCAGAGGGATTTAGGTTAGAGATAAGGAAGAACTTTCCCCCTGTGCTGGCAGGCGATCAGGACACTACAGAACACACTTCCCCTGCCAAGGCAGCATGTGGGGACTTTTTTTGTGAATCTGAGAATGCACAGACCTTTGGCTGTTTCAGATACCAAAAGAACAAGGTCTTGGGGGCAGGGGACAACTTGTTAACTCCTAGAGCCCCAGCAGACCCCAAAACTCAGCAATCCTACAGGCATCTATCTTATCCACACACTGATCCTTCATTCCCAAAGACCATATATTGAGTCAAGTAGACACCACTGGCAAATCAGCTTGTGAATGGGCCTGGCCCTGCCTCTTAAGACAGCAGGAAGGCTCTGGAAGATGCAGGTCCTCCTCAGTACTCAGTCGCCTATCACCCAGACCTGGGGGAAAGCTTTATTGAGGTCTAGCCTTAATCCATCCTTCATGTGGTGAGAACATTTTCTCTTATGCAGTTTCCGGGCAGGCCAAGTCCCTGTAAAAATGTTTTTGGTACATTTATGAGTCACTGTGTGATTCATTCAACACAGTCTTCATTCAGCAAAAAATGTACCACATACCCACTGTGTGCCAGGCCCTATGCCAGGGGCTAAGGATACAAAGGTGAACCAAGCAGCCATAGACACTGCCCTGCAGAGCTTAGGAATAGCATCGACATAGGCCACAGGAGACCATCTATGTCTTGAAGACGCTGAGTGTGTCATCCCCTGAGTTCCCTTTCTCTCCCCTTGGGTAGAGACATTCTAGATGGTAGAGATTCCATCCAGGAGTTACTTGCTCTCCCGGGCCTGCCCTGTCATGATGCACATGAGCCACAAGAGGGCAGCAGAAGAATTTGGACCAGAAGTCGGCACAGACTCTTGAGCTTCTATCACAGCTGGAAATTTCACCTGTGATTTTCAAACCTGCCCCCCATTTTCCCCGAGTCAGACTGCCCAAGTTGGCCTCACCAGCTAGTTGCAAAGCCAACCCCTGGTGTTGCAGGGAACATTTCCTAACAATAACAACTGCTGCTCACAGGCCTACTATGTAGCTTTGATTACTAAACCTCCTGAGAACATGTAGAGTCACTGAATCCCCTTCACAACCCACTGCACTGTTGAGGAAACTGAGGCTCAGAGAAGCTAAACTTACAATTTGCCCTAAATTACAGAGATAGATTTGAACCTTCACTGAAACATCTGGCCTCCTTTCATTGCCTCAAGTTGCTATCCATCCATTCTCCTAGGCCACACTGAAGCTGAGCCATGTCCCTATTCAGGATGATACTGCCCCCACCCCCAACAGTGGAAGGGTGGATCAGGCTGGGAGCTTGAAGGCCATGTCTCCTGGAGGACATGAAGGAGGCGCCTGCTCTCACCTCTCTGCTGATGTCCAAGTCATAGTCTTGAGGCTCCAGATCCAACTCAGTGACAGGCATGGCCTGCACTTTCAACCAGCCATTCTCCTCCTTGTCCTTTCTTTCCCCTTGCACGACCCGTTCCAGCAACTGCAGGTCAAAGTCCTGCTCACGCTTCCACTGGCAACAGAACAAAAGGGTTAAATGTAGTCGCTTCCTGACTGCTGAAAGAGCATGGCTGGTCACCTTTTTCCATGAGGGCCTTTGGAAGATGGACCTATGATCCCCTCAGGGAAAAGCCATATGTGCAATAGATAACAAAGCCTGTGTCCCCTTCATATGGGCTGTTCCAGACTGCTAAATGCTCTCTGATCTGAGTCCCCAGAAATTTCAAACATACATCCTTGGGGAACAGGTCAGACTCATGACTTTAGGCTCACAGTTGTCCCCAGGGAAATAGAAGGCTCCCAGAGAGGGTGACCTCCAAACAACTTGGGACACAGCTCTAGAGAAGGGGTTTGTCCCTTCTGCTCTCTACAGCTTGTGGAAAACTTGCTGGTTCAGGAGACATATATCCCAGGCTCAGAATTAATGGAAAAACACGCCCTTCGAGGCCCTGCTAAGCAAGTGGAATAACCAAGGGTCTTTCTATTGGGGATTTCCAACAAGATAACATTTGTAGGTGGGGGATACCGCATCACAGCAGGGATGGGGAAGTACAAGCAAAAGCAGCTTGGAGCCAATGAGGCAGACAAGCTGCTGTATAAGACCGATATATTTGAGATAGATGTTTTCTTTGAATTAGAAAAAAAAAATGAAATCATATAAAATTGAAATGCTAAATCAAGTGGAATGTTTCCAAGGATGTTCCACAGTATAACTTTGTAACAAGCATCTCAAGAGGGAAAGTCTAACCCATTAAGATCCAACCATGACTGCCCAGCTCTGTGGTGGCTTCCTGTAGACCCAGGACCTGCATCTTCACGGGCCTTTGACTGCTGAGCAGGTTGTTGAGAATAGAGCAGGCTCAAAGCCTCTCTTCCCCTGAGCAGAACCAAAGCAGATGCTTATCTATCCCAGGCCACCTCCTCTATCCCATCCACCTACCTCAAAGCCCCAAATGGTCCTGATCGTCTCTGATGCCTCCTCAAGTCCCTCCAAAACCCCAAACCCAGAGCCATATTTACACATTTCACCCATTCATGCACAAGCTCTCAATAACGACTCCAAATCGATATAATCACTCTTAGGTGATGGTTTTCCAATTATTGCTTGAAAGGATTAGGCAACTGAAGTTCCAAGGATTAAAAAAACAATTTAATGATTCACAAAGAAAACACTCATTTCCTTACACGCTCACAAGTGCTCCAAATAGAGATAAGTCCTCATTTAAACCCAGCCTGATTGTTTCCACAAACAGGAAACATTCACTAGATTCTACAGTGTATCCTGGGGAAGAACCACGCCAATCCATTATTATTAAGCAACATGTTTATTGGCGTTGATGCAGAGACTTACACAAGTCTTTTTTGAAGAGAAATATTACAAGGTATTCAAGTTACGATTTTTAGATAATCTCCACATTTGAGACATCAAATTATAAAAGGTCAGTGTTACTCCAAATGACATTTGTTTTAAAAGTGTGAAAGTTACCAGGTTTGCAGCTTTTAAAGATGTGAATGTTCTGGGTCTTACCCCTTTGGTTCAGAGCTAACAGCTGCAGATAGGCCCTCTGAATACACAGTATATTTTGCTATCCCTTCAAGTTATTAAATACCAGAAACACAAATGATTTTCCATAAGAACTTGTGCGACTGGACTAGAGGAATTAAAATGGAACAACCTCAGCCTTGGTAGAATGCAGTCAAAAGTGCAATCTCTGAAGTCCCTGTCTACTGTCCAGGTGTAAGGCATGGATTTTTATAAACTCATAATGCCCAAACCTCTGCCAATGACTGTGGTCTCAGGTAGCAGGTTGGCTCAGGCTTGCGGGGTGGCTTTTGGGACAAGTGAATTATGAGTCAGTAGGCCTGCATGAAAACGGCAGCAGAAAGGCAAGTCACATCTGGGAATGCTCACTAGGCTATGGAGGCAAGAACTGCTATTATAAGCCTGGTAACAAATAGCACAGGCCAGTTAGAGCATGTTCAAAGCAAATCAGAGGCTTCTGTAAACACAATCAGGCAGGATTAGAGAGGCAATGAGCGGTAACACTAAAAGCAAAAGAGCTTGTGCAGTGAATTAGGGAAAGATCAGGCTAGAGGTTTAGGAAAACATGGGATTTCAAACAACAGGGAAAAGTCAAATGGCATGTTTCCAAAAGGGACCTCAGGTGACTGTGAACAGGGCGCAGTGCCAGGAAGCGCCACTAGGGGACAGCACAGGCCTCCCCAGCTCTCCTGGACACCCTGATGCCTCTGCATTACAAAGCCCAGGGAGCCCAGTGGCCCTCGGGAAAAGGGGCGCAGCCCGCTGCTCCATCGCCCTCCCAGAGTGTCCGCTGGCAGGTTTGGGAGGCTGGTCGGTTTGCTTTTGCTTCTAATCAAATCATGTCACCATCTTCTTCCTCTCCTCTCTGAACCCTGTATTCCCACGTCCTGAATTCGGCTGAGATTCTGTACGCCTGCAAAGCGTGGCTGGGAGGACTGACTGGTATTTCCTCAGGCTCCTGAGCCTGTTTGATCCTCACTCCAGCTCTGGTTCAGGTCACCCTCTGACCAGGTGTTTGTCCAGCCTGGGTCGTGGACAGACAGCCCCGTGGGGTGTTCTCTGAAGCATCTAGGTCAAGGGACAGCTCGCTCACTGGGAGGTGTGATGTGCTTGTGTTTGGGGGACTCTGAGGGGCACTGGGCTTCCTGTCCCTGCCCACTCCTAACATACTGAGCCAAGATCTCCCGGGAGCGGCCGGCTGAGGTAGCGAGATGAGGGCAGGCCTGTCCTCTCCGCTTGGCCCAGCGTCCTCTTGCGCTCGCGGACCAGGGCCTTCTGGTGTCGCTTCATGCGCTCCAGTTGCTCCTCCGCGCTCATCTTGCCCCGCTGGTGGTCTCCTGAGTACAGGCGCTCCAAGGCACTCTTGGGTCTCTGAGCAAGAGAGACACAGAATAGCTGGGCTGGGCACAGAGGACAGCCACCCTGCCAGCTGCATTCCCGCTGTCTCTCTTGACACTCACTCACACACACACTCTCTCTCTCTCTCTCTCTCTCTCACACACACACACACACACACACACACTTACTTCTCTAGTTGGGTTCCTCTCGGCCTCAGAGAACTACTTCCTCTAAGCCACATGATGCCCTCAGCCCTCAGGAGCTTTCTGAGCAGCCCCCATTCTGCAGATGCAGACACTGAGGCTCAGGCCTATCCAGTGAGGCCAGAAATCAGGGTGCAGGCTTCTTGAGCTCCCTCCTGCCACCCTGACAGGCCAGAGAGAAAGGCAGGATGCCCTCCTTGATGGGCAGTGGATGACAGGGAGCTCAGGACAGGCTGAAGCCACCCCAGAAGACATCCCAGGGGCTGACGGGATAGCAAGTCACTGTCCCCCAGAAGTCCCTCCCTCCACATGTGAAGGAGCAGGGAGCTCCTTGACAGCTCGAGGCCACTCACAGGAAAGGTCGCCTTGCTGCTTTCCGCATTGAGACCCCTCCGGAGTGTGACATAGGGAGCAATGGTGGACGACTGCTGGAGTCTTGACGTGGACCCTGAGAGCCCTTAGTGAGGAAAGAGAAGGGCAAGCATGTTTGTGCTGGGGTGGGCGGGTCCTCACTTCTCCCTCATCACCCCCCAATCTTACAGGGGGACCAAGAGCACCCACCCAATGACCCACCCTTATTTCTCTTCTTCCTCCCCAGGACCTGGAAGACCAAGGTCCCCAAAAGAGGATGGGGGTGCCAGCCCAGGGGTGACCTTTGTCCCTGATGGGAGGCAGTGTCCCTACAGATCTGTGGACTACCCCAGGCTTTCCTTACATGCAGAAAACTGGGCCGCCTGGCAGATGGAAAGGCTGGAGGGGAAGGAATGCCTTTCACTCTCTCTCCCTAATCCACTCTTAGGCACCCTGCACAACCCAACTTGGGATGAGGAGGACAGTGAGGACACTCAACTGGCGAAAAAGGTGTTTAAGGAAAGGGCTCACTGAGTCTTAGAGTGGCACAAGAGAGAGAAGCAGTCTGGAAAGCTCAAGATGGCCAAGCTGGTGGCAGCCACCCAGCGCCCCAGCCTGCAGGGTGCAGTGACTCTGGAGCCAGAGCACTGGGATTGTCTTCTGGTTCCACCACTGATCAGCTAATTGGCGAATTATTTACTTTTTCTGGGCCTTAGTTTCTATGTCTCTAAAATGGGGATAACAGTACTTTCCTCATAGGATTGCTGTGAATATCATGTCAATATAAAGTGCTTAAACAGTGCCAGGCTTTCTAGTAACTGCTATTATCATTGTTCCCAGGGACAGATGTAACAACGGAGGAAGAGAATCAGGATGTAGGCCAGAGGAAGGCAGGCCAGGCCCTCCCTCTTGGCAGCCCAGAGGCCCCTGCCAGCTGCTGCTCACTCCTAGAGCTGCAGGCTGATGGGTATGAGGTACCAGCTCAGTGCTGGAAGCGGTGTGTTGGGATTCCCAGGGAAGCTTCAGGGAGGGCCCTGCCTTACCTCTGCCTGGCAGCGTCTGGTACCCGCTATCAGAGCCCACAAGTCCCAGGGAGGGTTGGGCCATGTCCCCGCTGAGGGTTGCCAGCTCAGGCTCACTGACGTACGACCGCAGCTCCACCTGTGGACAGAGTCCCAGGTGGTCACATCTGCAGGTGTCACAACCTCTTCCCTCTCCCCACACGCAGAGTGGCAGCCCCAGGGCCCCCGTGCTCACTCTGGAGTCCCCGTTCACACACTGCCCCAGCTCCCGGTCTCGCTTCCTCTCGTCTGACTGCCGCTTGAGGCCCCGCACAGAGGTGTGCCGGATGATGGTGGCCTCTCTGGGGAGAGGTGGCACGGCTGGGGGCTGGTCCTCTGGGCTGTAGAGCTCAGGAAGTGGGGGCCTGGGAGGTGCTTCATCTTCCTGCTGAGAAACAGAACCAGACCAGTGCACAGTGAGATGGAGCTGAAGGGAGGGCTGCTAAGTGCACTGCCACAGTCGGGGGTTTAAAGGAAAGGAACAGGTCACATCAGAGCCACAGAACATGACCCCCTCAGCCAAGGGACACTCACACTTCCCCTGGAGGAGCAGTGAAGAAGGGACACACCTCTGCTCCTCTCTCCCTTCAGATGTGCAGTTTCTGTTCCTCAAAGTGACGTCTCGGTAACTGTGTCCCGAAACCCAGGACTCGGGCCTCCTGGGTCTATGCCCTTGGTGCTGTGCCAAGCTGCTCCCTCCATTCATCAGGAGTGCAATCACAGGCAGGCCGCTAACCCTGCCCAGACTTCCATGCTTATGACAGCACCACCTATCTGGAAAATAAACATCTACCCACTCAGCAGTGGTCAGCCCGAGCTGGCTCACTGGCCCTGCACCAGCTCTGGATCCTTCAGCAGGGTGGGGACCTGAGCAAGGACAGAGGCTACATCCTCCTGGCCTTTCTATCAGAAATGTGCTTGGTTACAAAATATCTCCTCCTTCCTGACTCAGGCAGAACAGGCGGTCAGGATGAGTGACTCACTGCTTACCACGCAGCTCATTCCCTAGAATGTGATGAATACAAGTGTTTTCCTTAAACTCCCTGTCCGCAGTGCTCTGAGAAGGCTGTGGTTCCTCCACATATCAACAGGCTGGCCCTGGCTGCCATGAATACCCACTCTCGGGGCTAATGACCATCACGCCCTCCACCTCCTAAATTCACTTTTTCTTAGTTTAATTTGGTTTTGTTGCCGGGCGCAGTGGCTCAAGCCTGTAATCCCAGCACTTTGGGAGGCCGAGGCGGGTGGATCACGAGGTCAAGAGATCGAGACCATCCTGGTCAACATGGTGAAACCCCGTCTCTACTAAAAATACAAAAAAAATTAGCTGGGCATGGTGGCGCGTGCCTGTAATCCCAGCTACTCAGGAGGCTGAGGCAGGAGAATTGCCTGAACCCAGGGGGCGGAGGTTGCGGTGAACCGAGATCGCGCCATTGCACTCCAGCCTGGGTAACAAGAGCGAAACTCCGAAAAAAAAAAAAAAAAAAAATTGGTTTTGTTTTTAAGAATTTCCCAGAGTTCAGGAAAGAACACTCCAAACTCTTGGAAAGTTCAGGAAAGAGCACTCCAAAGCAAAGGTTTATCAACAATCTTCTAAAGCAACACACATCACTGACGTGTGAAAGTTACCGGTTCTCTGAGGATCCAGCTTCCAATCCTAATAAGACATCTGAATCACCCATTTCTAAAAAGCCCCCCAGAAAGATAAACACAAAACATTGATTGTCTTTGATTGAATGGAATGTCTGGAGACAGAGGGTGGGAAGGAGACATGTTATTATGTACTTTTTAATTATCTTTTCCTTTTGTATCCTTTGAGAATATTATCTATTTTTAAAAAGACATTAAACTAAAAAAATTAAGCCAAATAAAAATGAACTATAGCCACATGCAACAATGTGTATAAATCTCACAAACATCATGTTGAAGGAAAGATCCAAGATACAAAAAGAGTATAGAATTATATACCAGCATAATCACAGTGTTTGGGAATGTCAACACAGGTACTAAAACTTAAAAAAAAAAAAAAAAAAAAAAAAGGCAAGGGGATTATTATCCAAAAAGTCAAGATAGTGGTTCCTTCTGGCAGAACAGCGTGGTCTGGAAAAGAACTCACCGGCTTCTGGTTGCTGGTAGTGTCCTATTTCTTATTCTAGGTGTTGGTAGAAAACAGGTATCCTCTTTATTATTCATTAAATTATATAATCCTGTTTTGTGTCATTTTCAAAATGGATATTATTGTTTCACAAATACAAATGGCTTTTGTTTTGAGACAGGGTCTTGCTGTATCACCCAGGCTGGAGTGCAGTTGTGTGATCACAGGTCACTGCAACTTCAAACTCCTGGGCTCAAGTAATCTTCCTGCCTCTGCCTCCCCAGTAGCTGGGACTACAGGCAGGCACCACCACGCTCATCTTATAAGTGTTAAAAACAATCAAATAACAAAACAAATGGTGAACTGGCAAATACGCATGTATTCCTAAGAGACAGGATCTCTCCTGGTGACCCCAATGCTAACCCAAGCAAAAAAAGCCCTGCCTGAGAGCCACAGATGACCACGCTGAGGAGAAGCCTCTGTGACCATCTATAAAAAGGAAACTGAGGAAGCTCAGAGAAGGGACAGACTTGCCTGAGGATACAATGAGAGAATCAGTCCCAGATTCGGGGTGTCCTAGCTCCTATACCAGAGCCTTTCCACCCTACTCCCTGTCCCAGCTGACAGCATTCTGCTCTATGTCCGCAGCCTTCTGCCCCAGACATTCCTGCTGTTTGTTTTGGTATTTTCTACCTTATGTTTTAGGGCCAGAGCTCCAGTCCACCTCTTAGATCTGGGATTGGGAAGGAGATCTCAAGATGTTGAAACCCACAGTGACTCTCTGGCTGGGGGCTGCACCACACTCTGAGTCCAGCTCTGGGCCCTGGGCCATGGCTGGAAGCAGGTAGATGGTGAGGACCAGGGTACCAGAACTCGTGTTTTACCCAGCACCGTGCGCTGACCTCATCGGAGGTCCAGGCACACGTGGTGCCCAAGTGAGTCTCCTCCAAGCCTTTGTTGGTAAAAATCTGGAGGCCCCCATTCCAAGGTCTACTCTACTATGACTTCCCTGCACTGGGACCAGCCTCCCTGTGTTCTCCAGCAAAGGCTGGCCTGGCCCTGGAGGTGTGAGCTCTCTTGGGACCTGACCACATCTCCTGTTTCCTTAAAGTCTCCTGCATTCCCAGATGCTGCCAAGAGCTTGGCCCCTTTCTATTCTAGGCAAATCAAGGTGCTGGCCCAGTCAGCACAGAGGCCACAGACCAGATCTGGGACTGAAGGCCCAGTTAGACGGTAGATGGCACAGAATAAAAGAGAAAGGCCAGGATATGTGATTTGGATTCACTAGTTAGCATGGCGATATTGAGCAAATGTCAACAATTTAGGCTTTAATTTTCTTCTCTGTGGAATGGGGATATTGCCCTGCCTGTGTATACTCCTTGAAGTTATTTTAAAGATCAAAGCATCCTCACGACCCAGCCCAGTGCTCAGCGGCAGTTGAAGGGAAGGACACTTTTCTACTGGAGTACTGCCCACAGGCTGTGTAACTGCAGGAGAGCCCCCTGCAGATTTGCACAGAGGCTTACATGGGGATAGCCTTGCCCATAGCCACACACCTCTCTGCACAGTGCAGACCACAAACTCCACCCTCCTCAGCACAGTCACTTCTTCTTGGTGGGCCTCAGTTTTCCCAACTGCAAAGTGGGAGAGTTGGGTTACATCATATTTCAGGGGTCTTCCAGTTCTGAGAGTCTAAGGCACAACAGCAGGGAAATACTACTTTTTAACTGCTTTTGACTAAGGACTCCTTTAGGACACTGGCTGGGTCCCTTTCCCCAAATTTTCCCAGGATCTTCTCTCCCAGGAGAAGGTGATCTGAGGACACAGAGGAAACAATGGCATTCAGCTCCGAGACATCACTACTTACAACTCTGGGCTTCGTCTTAGTTGGTGACTGAAGAGGGGATGTCACTTTCCTCAGCTGGGGTGGGTGAGGTCGGTACGGCACGTAGGTTTGCAGCTGGGGGAAGAGTCGAACCTCCAGAGGGGTCCGCACAGGGCTGCTGGGAGGACTGGGCTGTGGGGGCGGCTTGCCCTCGGAAGTTGAGAGTGAAGGCACAGGCGGGTGAGGAAACAAAGGCACTGTTTTTCTCTCTAAGGGGCACAGAAGAAAACAAAGCACGGGATGGAACCAAGACCCCCTTCCTCGGAAGGGGGAGTGGGACGAGTGGAGTGACTTAGCACCTCAAAGACCCGACCTCCCCAAGGGCGATCCCACCCAGCTGGTTCCCCTTCCACCCTCTCCCTGCCACCCCTCCACCCAGACTCCCCTGCACCCAGGAAGATGAACAGCTCACCTGGATTTTTGACCGACTCCACAAGGATTCTGAAGTTCTCTTTATTTGCACTCAGGCCTGCAATGACATCTTCAATTCTCCATAGATCCTTCTGTATCTGCGATTTCTCCTGAGGAAGACAAAGTGGTGGGTTTGCCTTCTTCGCTCCTTACAAGAAGTTTCTTCTTAGGACTTATCCTACCATTTCAGATAGAGCCCCCTGCCCTAGGGGGCAGCATCCCCTCTGAACACCTCGCTAGTGCTAGAGCCAAGTCTGTTTCACAGCTTCCTAGGGAAGCATAGATATAGAAAATGCTCAAGATGCAGGGAGAAATTTCAGAGTAGCTTTCACCAGTCCAGCTTGCCTACCTAATTTTAAAATAGACTGCCGTAAACACTGTGCCATTCCACTAAAACACTGTATGATGTACTTAGAGTAGTCAATTTCATAGAGACAGGAAGTACAACAGTGGTTGCTAGGGGTGGGGAGAGGGAAAATGGAGAACTATTTAATCTGTATAGAGTTTCAGCTATACAAGATAAAAAGTTCTGGAGATTGGGTGCACAAAAATGTGAACATACTTAACACCACTGAACTGTACACTTAAAAATAATTGAGATGAGCCAGGTATAATGGCTCCTGTCTGTATTCCCACACTTTGGGAGGCCAAGGCGGTGGAGCACTTGAGGCCAGGAGTTCGAGACCAGCCTGGCCAACATGCAAAACCTGGCTCTACTAAAAATACAAAAATTAGCCAAGCATGGTGGCAAGCTCTTGTAATCCCAGCTACTTGGAGGCTGAAACATGAGAATCACTTGAACCCAAGAGGTTGCAGTGAGCTGAGATCGCACTACTGCACTCCAGCCTGGCCAAAGAGACCCTGTCTCAACAAAATAATAATAATAATAAAGATGGTAAAATTTATGTTTGGTATATTTTACCACAAATTTTTATTTGTTTTATCACAAATTTTTAAAAGGCACTGTCTTATGTAACCATGGCAGAAGGAAAGGCAAGGACTAGAGTTTACACCATCTCTAGGGTATAAAAAACACTTTTTAAAAGTCAGAGCTGAACCTGAGATTTGAGGTTTAGTTAAAAATGCAGCATGGGATGGAATATTAGTTGGCAATAAAAAGGAATGAAGTACTGATACATGCTACAACAAGGATGATCCTTGAAAACACGAGGGAAAGAAGCCAGTCACAAGATGCCACACATTATATGATTCAGTTTATGAGAAATGTCCAGACTAGTCAAATCAGTAGAAACTCAAAGAAGATTCATGTTCGGCTAGTGCAGAGGGGACGTTGTGGGGATGGGAGTGACTGCTAATGGATACGGGGTTTCTGTTGGGGCGTAATGACATGTTATAAAATTGATTATGGTGATGGCAATGCTGTGAATATACTAACAACCACTGAAATGTATGCTTTAAAACACTGAATTTATTTTTATTTTTTTAAGAGACAGGGTCACTTTGTTTTTAATTGCTTGTGACTAAGGACTCCTTTAGGACTCTGGCTGGGTCCCTTTCCCTGAGTTTTCCCAGGAGGTTCTCTCCCAGAAGAAGGTGATCTAAGGACACAGAGGAAACAATGGCGTTCAGCTCTGAGACATCACAACTTTGGGCTTCGTCTTAGTTGGTGACAGCTCATTGTAACCTCAAACTCCTGGGCTCAAGGGATCCTCCCGCCTTGGACTCCCAAGTAGCTAAGACTACCGAAGCATGCCAACATGCCTGGCTAGTTTTTTTTTTTTTCCTTCTGTCTTTCTTTTTGGTATTTGTAGAGACAGGGGTCTCATTATGTTGCCCAGGATGGTCTTGAACTACTGGCTCCAAGTGATCCTCCTGCCTTGGCCTCCCAAACTGCTGGGATTATAGCCATGAGCCACCACCATGACCAGCCAAAAGGGTTGTGAATTTTATTGCATGTGAATTATATGATAAAGCTGTTAATTTTTTTTAGTTTAAGAGTATAATTTTTATGTGTCAATTTAAAAAAATAATAAACTCCAAAGAATATATATCTACATACAATGAGGAAGGACCTAGGCTATATGATCATGTGCATTCTGACAAGTGACAACCAAAATCGAATGGGAACAGGATCTAAAAGAGGTGTGGAGGGGTCTGATGTGGCTAAGGGACTATGGCCATCTCTTGATGGGGTTGTTTAAACATCAAATGTAGTAGTCTCTTGACTTTGAAGTTATAATTGGGGAAAGAGAGCCTTGGTCCCACCTCATGGACTAAAATAAAGGCAGGCTTCCCACCCCATCTCCTCTCAAGGCACCCAGCTACCCATCAACTGGAAGAGTTCTCGCACTGCATGAGCCTCGAGGACCTGCCCGATACTGCTCCTTGATCCATCCCCTACAGGGCCTGGCACTTAGCAGTTCTCAGTGCATACATGCTGCATGAGTAAAGGACCAGTCATGTAAAATTCCCTGAGCAAATACTTTCCAACAGCCATGACAACAGATGTCCAAAGCCTCCTGACCCAAGGGGGCTCAGGTTCTCACTCTCTCTCGACCCCTCCAACATAAAGCACATCCTTGGGTCTGAAGCAAATAATGGGCTTGATTCTCAGCTCCATGCCAACGCATGAGCATCCTAAAACAGACAGGTGGATTACTAAGCCCAGAGCATGTGTGTGTAAGAGGCTGACCTCTAGGGCTGAAGTCCCCAAGCTGAGTGTTGGGAACAGGTAAAGAAAGGGATTAAATGCAGTCCGCTTCCTCCTCCAGAGCTCCCTGGCAAAGCCCCCCATCAGCCACTCTCATGCCCTCCTTATGCTTTTCTGTCACCCCTGCATGTGAGAGAAAATCAGAGAGCAGAGAAGAAAAAAGGCTGGAGAGTCCCTATCCTTCTCCAAGGGTGACAGAATTTGGGGCCTTCATAATGAGGTGAGGTTTTGGGAAACAAGGGAGTGGAGTCTCATTCCTGCCTCCTTGCACCACACTGGGCAGAAAGGCTCCTATGTGCTGCTTTCAGCAAAGCCTTGAACTCACTGTTTCAGCCTTGACTCAAAAGGCTATTTTCCTGGAACCAACCAGGCTACAGGAAGGCGAGTTTCTAAGCCCTGTTACTGAGAATCTGCATATAGGGCTGCAAGTGTATCTGCAGTGCTGATGATCTATCTAGGGCTCTAACAACCTGCCTGGCCTAGGATGACACCAAAGAAGCTAGCAGAGAGCCTGCTCAAAGCAGGGCTTTGTAAGCTTCCCAGGTCACTGCGCCACTTATGAAAATGTGAGCAGTGCCGCAGGCAAGGTGGAAAGCAAGCTGCAGGCTCCAGGCTGGCCTACCTGAGAGTAACTCATGGGGATGAGTTCTCCAGGGAGTCTGTGACAAAGACCTGTCACAGTGTTCTATTTGCTTTTTGGAGGAAAGGGGAAAAAAAGGGTTCTGGCCTGCTCTTTGTTAAATCATCATGATATAAGGCACAGTGGAGACACAAGTGGTCAAAAATCATATAAATAGATGTTTCACCTGCTAATAACTAAATAAATTCAAATTAAAACAAGATGTCATTTAGTAGACAGGCAAGACTAGAAAGATTGATTACAAGGATGTGGGCAAATAGGTTCAGTACTTTCATTTGCTGTGGGCGTGAAGGTAAACAGATGCGGCCCTGTAGAAGGTGGCTTGGCATATCCATCAACTTTTAAGATGTAAACTCATTTCAACCCCAGCAAGTCCACTCCTAGGAGCCTATCTTAGATACTTGTAAACAAGTATGAAAAGGTAGCTACATGAATCCTAACCACAACACCATTTATAAAAACAAAACACTGAAAATAATTAAATGCTATCAGAAAAGGAATGGCTAAGTAAAGCAGGAAACACCTAGACTCTGAAATAGTATGTAACAGTCAAGAAGAATGAATTTAATTTTCTTAGACTGGTGCTGCCCAATACACCTTTCTGAGATGATAGAAACCTATAATCTTCACGACCCATAACAGTAGCCAATAGCCACCCGTGGATATGGAGCACTTGAATGAGTCTGGTTAAAATGAGGATACATTTTGAATTTCAGTTACTTTTAATTAATTTATATTTTATTGGGCAGCATATATTTGGGGTTAACTGTTTTGGAAAAATTTCCATGATATCAGGTTATGACAAAAAAGTGAATTGCCAAATAATGTACAAATGTGGTCCTCTTTAAGTAACCTTTTACCTGCTCCCACCCCTGAATAAATCATATGATTCTATGCATGTGCATATTTTTGAAAATGCATAGAAAATGGTCTAGAAAGCAACGTTAACAGATAGCACTGATGGCACACAGGCAGAGTGATGCGGGGGCAGAAAGGGGGGGGAAGAGGAGCTTTTATATTATTTTTTGGTTTTGCTTCATATTGTTTTGGCCTTTTCAAAGACACTTATTCATGTATCATTTGTGTAATTACAGAAACAAAGAATGAATAGCTAAAAAAAATAGCTGCTAAAAATAAAGGAAAAAAATTACTGCTAAAAAAATTCAGATCACTGAAGTCCAAGAAAATAGGTATACCTGGGCGGACAGTTTTAGGAACTCATAACCAGAAATAATTGAAGGACTTTGTCAACAGTATTCACCTAGTATTTTCAAGTCATTATGGTAAGTGCTGGGGCTACAAAAAAAGGGTATTAAAATATTAGCTAGTGTGGATGAAGAGAAATTATGGGAGGGAAACAACCCCAGCAGCAGCAGAAGACAGACAGGTGCTGGGGAGAGTCTTGCAGGCCAGCCTTGAGCCACAGGCAAGGGTCTCCTCCATGGGGTCCTAGGCAGGGCTCTCTGGGAACCATCTCTGCATGAACAGAGGGACAGCAGGGCCCTGGGAAAAGCCTCAGGGCCCACATACCTAAACCTCCTCCAGAATTTCCTTCAACTTTCTGGGGTGAGGCTAATGTCTGGAGAGTCAACATACTCATTAAATCACTTAAAGGAAGAGGCTTGGTTAGAACTAGCTCATCAATTAGCAAGGCCAGCACCAAAAGTGGCCCAGCATGGTGCCTCATACACAGGAAGCCTCAAATTAATGCTTGCTGAATTCAAACACACTTATGTCAGGGCCCTGAAAGGAGAAGATATAGATCTTAAGTGAGGTGAGACAAAAACAGGTTACATTCCACTTAAAGAATTGTGGGCCGGCACAGTGGCTCAAGCCTGTAATCCCAGCACTTTGGGAGGCCGAGGCGGGTGGATCACAAGGTCAAGAGATCGAGACCATCCTGGTTAACATGGTGAAACCCTGTCTCTACTAAAAATACAAAAAATCAGCTGGGCATGGTGGCGCTTGCCTGTAATCCCAGCTACTCAGGAGGCTGAGGCAGGAGAATTGCCTGAACCCAGGAGGCGGAGGTTGCGGTGGGCCGAGATCGCGCCATTGCGCTCCAGCCTGGGTAACAAGAGCGAAACTCTGTCTCAAAAAAAAAAAAGAATTGTGAAGGTGGGGTGGAAACCTGGTTAAGCACCACAGTGGGGGAACACTGGGCAGCTAGGAACACAATATGGAAGAAGAAAAACCACACAGGGCCTTTCACTGTCTCCCTTCTAGGGGACAGAGGCAGCTATCAGTGGGGTGGCCTGATTTTTTAAGGGTAAAGAGGCAGGGCTCTAAGGCCACCTTTCCTGAGTGGTATAGGGGTCACAGAGATGGAAATCACCCAGCCTGGCCTCCAGAAATGCAGATGACTGCCTGGACACCAGAGTGCCTCAAAGAACAAAATTCACACTGTCTCCCTCTGGTAGAGGTGTGATAACATCTATCTCCAGGAATCAGAGGAGAGAAGGGGTGGATGCTTCCTGCTGCTGTCTAAGCAATGAGCTAGCAGCCTAAGATGGGGCCAAGAACTACGGGAACACTGATCACTCTGTGATCATGATCACCCCAAATCATCAGAAGTAAAGCCCTTTTTAAAACACCCAAGAGCTTGTCTTTGAGAGCAGAGAGGCGAGGGGAATGGGGTGAGGCTTCTCATCACAGCCTGGCTCGGGGAAGGGATCCTCAGGGGAGAGCTTGGGGTGGCTCCTTTACAGGGGTGGAACATCTGGGGCAGAGAGGGAAAAGGCCTCTGAGCAGTGCTCACAGCCCCCACAGATGAAAGCTCTTGGAAAAAAACAAGAGCTCGAAGGGATGGACAACTATCAGGTCACCTGGAAAAAAAAGGCTCTTCTGTGTTGCTCCTGCAGGGTCTGCTTCAGCTGTTCCACATCATTCTCCAACTTCAGGTATTCGTTCCAAGCATTTTCCATCTCCTGTTGGCCAAGAAAATGCTTCCAGTTCTCAGTTATCCCCTGCCCCCCGGGAGGCCTCATGAGCACCTGTACTCCTGACCATGCTTACCTAGCCAGGGGAGGAGGGAAGGAGACCCGGTAGGCCTCAGGCAGGCCTGGTGGGTGGGACAGAGACAGGAGCAGGAAGAAGCATGGCATCCTCTCATTTGTGCTCTGACCCTGGCCACCTACACTGTCCCCTCTTCCACCCTCAGAATGCTTTCTCAGCCCTGGACTGTACCACAACAGACTGACAAGTGAAAAAGCAGAAATTCTGACATCTTAGGATCAACTGCACACAGATCAGGGAATAGCTTTGCAGGGAGTTCTGAGGAATCTGGCCCACCGGATGTCACTGGCCTTCAAGAGTCGCTGTGGTAAGCAGCCTAAGGCACACGTGCAGGCAGACATGTCACCCCCAGGCAAGGTCATCTACTGTCAGCAGGCAGTTCTGCTACTGGAGAAGCTCTGCTATTTCAGGACTCTTACCTCTGGACACCGACTCAACTACATTTTGGGAGGTGGGAAAAGCAGCCCCTCACCCAGCCCGTCCCGAGGAAGATGGGTCTGCCACCCTCTACGCACAGTGGACTCTCTGGAGAGCTCAGCTCGGATATGAACCAGGTCCTCCTGCAGCAACTTCTGCTGGCAGGCAATCTTCTCCAAGTGCTGGGGCTGGTCTCGGTACTGCTCCATCTGTCTGTGCAGTACCTCCAGCACAGATTCTAGCTGGTCCTACACCAGAAAGGGTCAAAGAGCAACAGAATAGGACAGTCCCCAGAGACCTCCCCATACCACATCAGGAACCAAAGCTACTAGACCTAACCAAGGCTGAAAGGACCAGCGCTGAGCTGTGGGCCCACAGTTAGGGACTCTGATGCCAGCTCTGACTCTGTCTAGGGAAAGGTACCTAACAGCCCTGTGGCCTCAATTTTGTCATCTATAAACTGGGGATACAGCTGTTTAACGCCTTACGGGATAAACTAAGAGGATAAAACAAAGAATTTTTTTTTAAAAAAGCCTCTCTAACCTCCTAGGGAAAAGAGTATATTCTCAACTTTCAGCATCACAAATATCATGTCTGATTAAAATGCAAAAGGAAAAAAATTACTTTGAGAATAGACAAGACCAAATGTTGGTGGCCCCTGGCCCATTCCTACACTCCCATCCAGACTTGCTGCCTCCATAGTCCAGAGCCTAGGAGACAAGGCACTTTAGTAAGCAAAGGACTCTGCCCTGTAATGACTGCAGCCACTTTATCCAAAGGAACCCTGCTTCCCTGGGATTCAGGGACCTGGGGTCATCACATATAAGCCAGTGGAGCTTCTCTTCCAGGTTCATCTCACAGGGCCTCCAGGGGAGAGGTGGGCCAAAGCAGAATGGGGGCAGAAGGGTCTCTAAAGATAGTAACCCCTAAGAAACACCATTTAAACACAAGGGCATTTTCTTTTTTCTTTTCTTTTCTTTTCTTTTCTTTTTTTTTTTTTGAGACAGAGTTTTGCTCTTGTTACCCAGGCTGGAGTGCAATGGTGCGATCTCGGCTCACCGCAACCTCCGCCTCCTGGGTTCAGCCAATTCTCCTGCCTCTGCCTCCTGAGTAGCTGGGATTACAGGCACGCGCCACCATGCCCAGCTAATTTTTTGTATTTTTAGTAGAGACGGGGTTTCACCATGTTGACCAAGATGGTCTCGATTACTTGACCTTGTGATCCACCCGCCTTGGCCTCCCAAAGTGCTGGGATGACAGGCTTGAGCCACCGCGCCTGGCCAGCATTTTCTTTTTAAATAAGCTAACATCTGCTGTTCAATACTAACATAATGGTACAGTCTATGTCTCAAGAAAGACAGGACAAAACACCCCTCTGCTCATCCCAAGGTTATTCAAAACTGACACATACTTTGTTCTCCTTAAGGGCTCGTATCTTGTCTTCTAAGTCCTGGAGGATCCTGTCTTGTTCGCAGAAAATGCTCAGTTTGACCTAAAAGCAAGAACAGAGTGGGAGAGGACCTGGGATGATGAGAAAAGGACATGACCTTGAAATCATGATCAGGTAGCCTGTGGCTACAGAACCATCCAAGCCCTGCCTGAAGCTGTTCACCCTGGGTCTGGCTGGGTCAGGAGGCAGCTGAGGGATCAGCATGTCACTCTGCTCACTCACATCAATGTCGCTCTCCGCGATCTTCACAGGCTTCAGACTTCGATCCTTAAGAAGGTCCCGGCCTGTCATCTGGGAGGTGAACAATTTAAAAGAGATTTAACCATGGTGTTTGAGGTCAGAAGTCGGGAAAGAAATTTCATCCTACAACGGATGGTGTGGAAGCCCTTGGCAGTGGCAGGTAGGGTCACAGCAGGACGGGGGCAAAAACGTGGGCAATATTTGCTCTATTTCTATGCCTATTTCATTTTAGGAAAAAACCAAAACCTTTTCATGATTCTCGTATAACACTGGTAAGTCCTCTGAATTAAAGAAAATGTAGATGTTCAAGTTATAGGATCATCAATTTTAAAAGTATGTATTTGCCTAAAATGAACGTGAAAAACCAGCAGGAATCTTGGAAGATTTGCCACTGATAAGACAGAAGTGTGCTACTGAACCTGGGAACAAACACAAGTTACAGAAGCCCATCACGTCCTGCACAGGGTGGTGAGATGGGCAGACCCAGAGGAACAAACAGATCCCTTTGCCATTGTCAAGCCTTAGCGTAAGGGAGTCTCTGAGCAGCCCACTCCCCCATGGGTAAGGCCAGCCTTCCTCACCCTGTGCCATTTGGGAAGACCTGGCCAAGGAAAAAAACGGACTTGGCAAGTTCCCAGTGGGTTTTTTTTTCATTGTTCCCTGAATAACGGAGGCTAGGCTGTACTTGCATAAATTACAAGAAAGAAAACCACAGAGCAATACATAAAAGTCCTCCACACTTGTGGGCCAATGGGATTTCACATTTCCCGTCCCTCACTTGACTCAAATTAGGCAATATGCTGCCTGTCTCCCACTGACTCCTGAGAATTTAAATCTAACTTATCCCATTTTTCCATTTCCCCTAGTCTCTTTCTTGCCACAAGTCATGCAGGGGCTGAGGGGAGTGACTTTCACAGATGCACCATCCCATGGACAAAACGAAGCCAGGGAGAGCCAAGTCTAATGTTCCTGGTGTAGGGGAAGCCACCTCACTGAGCTCTATTTTGCAGGTCTGACCAGGGAAATGGAAGGTGGAGCTAACAGTGGCAGAGACAGGTGGTGTGTGTGCTATGCAGGGAGGTCCCAGTGTAGACAGATAGCCGGTGGAGAGAGGGCTGTGGATTTCTACCCATTCTATCTGTAAGGTCTGGGAAGTTTGTCAGTGTGAAGTGGGGGTGGCAATAAATTGGCAAACATTCCCCTCAGTGCTCAAGCACTTCATGTGCCCACCTGTCCTATGCTACTTCTCCCTGCGAATTATCATGAGCAAATCCAAAGGTCAAGGGAGAGGACCTCTCCCTACCTTGGGGTGAGGACTGATTCTGGGCTACACACCTGCCCCGCCCATTCCCATGATCCCTTTGGTCATACAGAGGAGGGCGGGACCATTATTTTATGTATCTTGGTAAAGTCAGCCCTGAACAGAAGACCTGGCACGAACTCAGCAAATGCTTATTGAATTGCATGTCGGTCAAAGGGAAACACATGTAGGTCAGTGTTGTCGAGTTCCTGGAAAAAAACAGAACTCCAGCCAAATTCTGCTCTTCAGACTGGCAGATTATGTGTACATACACATATACACACAGTTGCAGAACACCAGACTGCAGCGATCCACAAACAAACAGACTGTGCTGTCTCCTGCAATGGGGGTGGGGGCTGGGTAGGCATGAAGTGAGTCCTGGGAAATCACAAACAGCTGAACTTCTCAGGCAGCATGTGAGTTTTAAACTCAGGGAAACCCAGGAGAAAAAGCAGGTGAAAGCAGTGAAGTCTTCTCTCCACGTCATCGTCCTTTCATCAAACCCAAGGACAAGGAGACTGTCAATTCTCCAAAGGAGCTGACCTTTGGGGCTCATTTCCTAGGCAGAAATCATTTTCAAAGGGAGACACACTTTGGGGATTCTTCTCCCAGCAAAACTCTTCCCCTTATTTCACTGAAGCTTTTTACAGAGGATATCTTTTTCATACTTAAATAACAAGGCAGAAAATCTAATTGAGCAATGCCTCATTTATCTAGCACCATCAAGAAAAGAATGAGATATTTTATATAAAAGGGGCGTTTTGAGAAGAAGCTGAATCTTCTAAATTACACTTTTTGATGGAAAGTTTTCTAAAAGTAGGCCCTTTGCTGCTTTTGTAGAATACTGAATATACATTCAGCCTTTTTTCTCCCTCTCAGGATATTAGTACTACCCCTTTTTCTAAGAAGTAGGTTTCTCTTGCCCCTTTTTAAAGTGCTGCCTATTAGGTTTTGTAGGTTAGGAATTCAAAGGACTATAAGCATGACAGAGACAAGGTACTTACATCTCTTCTCTCGCTTTAACTGGGGGTGGTGCCCTTCAGGGTGCTCTTCCCACACGTTGCATCTGCTGCTACTACAGTACTCAGCACATGAGAGTACAGTGTTCTTTTTGCTCATTTGTCTCTCTCCTCACTACAGAGTTACCTAATTAGGGGTGACTGTGGAGACCAATCCCTTTCCTTTGTATCCTCAAAGCCTGGCCAGGGCCTAGCATATTGAGGATAGTCGGGCAGTGTTTACCTAGGAAGTTCATGAATGTGTCAAAGTAACATGAGCTGGCTCTGCCTCCTATGGACAGAAGGTCACAGGCTTTAGAGCATGGGCTTCCTGAGAGCTGCTCCTACAGCTCAGAAGACCTTTAAGCTTCTGAATTTGTCTCTGCTCAAGAGAGCAGAGGCTACTAAGAAATATCATATCCACGCGTACCATATTACATCTCATTTTCCTTTTAAAAATGTGTTTGTGAGAGCAATGTTTAAACACTTAAAACATCAACTCTGGATTCTCCCAGCATCTCTGTCATCAGAAAAAGAAAGGCTATGGGCACTCATCCACATGAAAGAGTCTCTCCACAGAGGGAAATCAAAGGCCATCCAGGCATCTTCCCTCCCCTCCACCACAACCCAACCCACTTTCTCAGGGCTCAGGATGGTTGGACACAATACCTGCTTCCTGATCTGCAGCCTCCCCTGGAATGCTATGAGAGCTGGCCACACTGCAATCCCTACTTCTGCATCAATTAAAGAGGGTATGGGCAGGGGGTGGCATTTTATTCTAGTCCAGCTCCAGGCTGTTATCTAAATACCAACTCCCTGCCCTCAAAAAGTGCCACCTTAATCTCAGGGCCACCATGGAATCTGAGGATACCCTGGCTCTTGGAAGGTGACCAGTAACTGCTGTTCCCTCCCAAGAAACTCATGCTCAACTCTCTGGGTGAGCCCTCGCCATGGAGGCAGACACGTGATGATGGAAACACAACATAAGCTGGTGGCAAGCCAGGCAAGCTCCCCCACCCTTGGCAGCACAAAACATGGAGTCACAGAACACCACAGATGAGAGGCTCAGCTTGGTGCATCAGCCAAAATGCTGAAAAGAGCTTCAGTTGAAAGAAAATAAACCAAAATGACTTGCGGGAAGCCTGGGGCAGTCGGGAGAGCAACTGGTTAAGCAAGTGATGAAGTCGGCACGGAGCCAGAAGCAATGGAATGACCCCGCTCGGAGACACGGATCAGATCATCTTACGCTTCTCCTGGGCCGACAGCCCCGTGCTGACTTCTTCAGCACTTTGTAAAGCACGTTGATCAAAGGTTCATTATTTTTAATCTGTTCCAAACAAAAAGGCAAATACAACAAAACGCAACAGGTGAGACATCAAATGACACTTGAAGCAGCCAGAATTTGGGGAGCTGGCAAAGGGAAAACTTTAAGGAGGCTGTGTGTTGTGCAATTCAAACAACCAGGTCTGAATCTTGGTGACGCTACTTCCATGGGCCTGTGGATGTTATTCCCATGGGCCACAGGGTCTTCCCAGACTGCAGGTCTCTCCTTTTTATAAAATGTTATACGCTGTCTGAAGGGACCTGTGCACAGGCTGGTTTATGTGGGAGTGCCAATTTCAGTATTCATTTCCTTCCTGGTTCTGCTGCAGAAGGCAAAGAGGAACATCATAGAAGGGAACTTGCTTCTTCCTTTGTCCTCCCCATCACATTCTGTAAGATACTAGTTTAGAATAGTGCCATGCATTCTTTTCACTCCCACCCAACCCACCCAACCCTAAGTTCCACCATAACTGTGATGCATCTACACACTTATGTCTTACCCATGGTCCCAGATGCGTACCGCTCCTTTTTGGGAACACTGTTCTCATTATCTAGAACATTGGAATCACCGAGAGGGCTTTAAAAAATACCAATGCCTGAGTCCCGCCCCAAGAGATTCTGATATAATTGGTCCGGAATGGGCCCTGGACATTGGGATTCTTAAACACTCTCCTGGGTGATTCTATGTGCAGCCAAGATTGAGAATCACTGCTCTAAAACAGGGGTTCTCAAACTTTAGCATGCATCAGGATCAGCTGGAAGGCAAATACAGATTGGCTGGGTCCTGTCCCTGGAGGTTTCTCATGGTGCAGATCTGAGGTGGGACCCAAGATTTTGCATTTCTAATGAATGTCCAGGTAGTATTGACACTTTCAGTCTGAGGATCACATTTTGAAAGCACTACTTCAAAAATAATGTTTCTTAACCTTGACCTTGGATGTGCACTAGAAACACCTAAGGAGTGTTTTTTTCTTTCTTTTTTTTTTTGTTTTGTTTTGTTTTATGAGTATTACCAATTAAATCACAGTCTCTAAGCAGTAGGACCAAGACCTTTATATTCATTTTTTAAGTTTTCCAATAGTTCTCATTCATAGCCAAGGTTAGTAATTTCTTCTCCAGAACAATAGACCTCAAACCCTAATGTGCACAAGAATCAGTCTAGAGCTTGACAAAAATGCAGAATTCTGAGCAGCAGAGTGTTTAATGTGATAGAACCCTCCAGATCTGTGTTTTTATCAAGCTCCCAGTTGATTCTGAAGTATGTGGCATACCTAATCACAACTTTAAAAACTGTCCCAGAAGCCAATTTTGGAAACAGATCCAGAACAGAAAAGTCCTGATCTCAGATTCAAACAGTCAGGAAGAGTCCAGAGTCCAACAGCCTTGGAGCCACTGATGGCACATCCCTCACGGAAGACAAATGCCTTTTTGGGGCTGCCTGCAACCCTTTCTATCTACAAAGGCTTCACGTGAGTGGCAGCAGGTACCCTCACCTTCCTGGCTGTGCTTCACAGCAGCATAAAGACAACTTATATTGTCAACAACAGTGAACCTCACACCCCACCCTTCTGACCCAGCTAAGGTATAGGGTTCTGAAGAGCAGAACTGCAAGGCCAGGAATACAATTCAACAAACATGACTTTACAGTGGGCAAAGCATGAGATGCACGGAAGAAAGAAGGCAGGTACGAAGCCAGTCGCTGGGTTCAAGTTCTAGTAGTGTAACTTTGCAGAATTTACTTAACGTCTCTGACACCTGGGTTCCTGGTGATAAAATATGGATAATAATTCATATAGCTCAAGGTTGCTGAGAGGATTAAAGGAAATAAATGAACATCAACTGCCTAAATACTGCCAGGCAGGAACAGATGCTCAATCAATGTGGAGTCCTTTTCACCCTGGCACCATCAAGTGAAACACCAGCAAAGTAAACGTTTCCAAAAAAGCACACTGCTGTAAGCATCTTCCAAGAGCAGAGTGTGCTGTTGTTTGACCACTTGGCACCCCAGCAGAAACGCTCACTTCAGGAAGGGAAAGCTTCACAATGCGGGCACCCAAGCACCCCGACTGATTCTGGAAGCTGAGCGTCAGCTGACTGGGGGGCAGGGGAAGATGGGCTCTGGATTCCTAAGTCTGTGGCCTCTTGGACAGGGACATGGGGGACCCTAAGTCAACATGGCTTGGGGAGGGGAGAGGTCACAGATCAGATGCCAGGCAGGGAGACTCCTCTCTAGAGAGGCTTATCTCCCTACCTCACCCCTCTCCAAGGAGCCAGAGGGGATCTCTCATAAGCAGCTGGTCCCAGAGAGACTGTGTTTATCTTGATTTCCAAGCCCAGAATGGTCTACAGGCCTATTCAACCAGAGACCCTTGACTATGGGACATTTTGTCAAGCATGTCATAGAATCTAAGGACCAATGAGCTTTGGGGTTTTCCTAATCCAACCATCCATCCTACTCAGTTTCACTGAGCCTCAGCTGTACCCCAGTGACAGGAAGTTAACCACCACCTGAGGTGGCCCTTTTAGAAAAGTCTTTCTTCTACTAAACTGAAACCTGTCTACTTGTAGCTGCCACCCACATGTCTTAATTCCTCCTTAAGGCCACAGAAAACACGTGAAGACACAGCAGAGTTCTATAGGCTGTCTCTATACCTCTCCTGAATTGCCCCTAACCCCTTCAGTCATTCCGCACTGTAGCTGTACCGGCTACTGCTGTGCGCTTCCTTTCTCTGCCCAGCGTGTCCCATTAGGAAACTCCTCCCTCACTCCATGGAATACTGAGTAGGGAAGAAGTGAATCTGGACTTGCAGGCAGCCACCTTCTCTGCCCATGTGGAGGCAGCCCCTTGTTCCACAGGAAAGAAGAAGGCTGACACGCAAGGAAAGTAGAACAGTGAAAATGTGGCCAAGCCCCTGGAATGTAGGCCCTGCTACATGAATTAGTACATTCCCTTTTTGACTTAGCAGGTTGCTTTGGCTCTTGGATACTTCCAAACAAAAGCATCCTGCTGAGCACACTCAGCCATGGTTCTGCAAGCCTTCAAAACCTCTCCCTTGATCCCAGCCTCTCCTTCATCTGGATCCCAAAGTGGGACTCTCATCTTGGAACCCTAAACCCAAGCTGGGTCTGAGCAGGGCAGAGCAGGCCTATTGCCTCCTGATCTGGGACCCTGCCCCTCTGAGGGAAGCTGGGGCGCCAGCCTTTCTGACAGCCATGTCAGACTGGTGACACACATTGGGCACAAAACTCAGCATGCTTCTCTATGTTGCTGGTGAGCCAAACCTCTCCAGGGTGCTGGTGCAGCTCAGCTGGGGCACTGGTTCTCAGAGAGGCGCTTAGCAACTGTGGAAGCAGCTACAAGACCAGGGGAATATGGATATCAACACAGTTGTTTTCCCTGACAAACAATGACAACCTCCAGAAAGTCCAATAACTAGATAATGTTCAGATCAGGTACAGCTCTTAGGCAGTAAAACACACCAAAGATGCAACTTGCCTCTCCCTATCCCATCAAATATATTTCTTGGCATAACAATCCAAGCTCAGCTCCAAGAAAATATAATGCCTTTGGGTCCACAGTGGTAGAGCACCATTTTAAGAGAGGATGTGGGGCAAGGTGATGAACAGCTTTAGGGTTAGAGCCACACCCAAATACTGATACCCGCTAACTGCGGTGTAGGACTGGGAAACTCATTAGCCTTTCTGAGTCACAGTCCATTAACAGATGATACCACCATCTTTGGAGGTAAAATAATTTAACAGAAGTAAAATGCAGTGACCGGCACACATTATACCCCCTATTGTTATTAAGCTTCTTTTTGAATCAGGACACGCAGGGACTCCTAGTTCTGCTGTGCCATTCTGTGGCTCAGTTTCTCCCTCTTTAATCCCTCATAGCTCAAATTCTACGATCCTGAAATAAAACAAACCTGAGGCAGAGCATCACTCCGGGATCAACTGTGAGTTTCCACTATCACATACAAACAGGAACCAGAAGGCAGCTATTTCCTACTGCTCTTGCTCAGGCGCATTTAGTTCTCTCTGGTCCCATACACTCACCACTCTGGCATACCTGTGTTTTATAGTCACCTGTGCTGCTGGCGCGCCAGGCCTCTCCCACAAGCCCAGGTGCACTACGGATGCTCTGGAGGTGTGTCTGAGTGGACCTTTGGGCCCTGGGTCAGGAGTGAGAACTGTGCAGGCAGCCGCTGACTGTCAGGGAGGCTGATGAACCGGGATGCGGTGCTGCAAGGGGCAGGGGGAGGCTGGGGATGGGTGGGTCTCTTTCCACAGGTATGGTGGGAAGGACCCCGCCTGACCCCACAGGCTGCAGGAAGACAGTCTGGGCTGCCACGTTTGGTTCACACAGCTATGCTTGAGCATTTTGAATTGGAGGAATTACTACCATACTTAGAGCAGTCCCTCCAGCTCTGTGTGACCTGTCATGTGAGTTGGAAAACCTCCTGGCCTTGAGAGAAAGCTCCTTGTTCTGCTCACACGCTAAAGCCAGGTCTTTTTGCTCACGGCACCCACCTTCCTTCCTAATGCCTAGGATAGAGTCAAAAGCCTACATGACTGGCTACCACCTCCCTTCTGCTGCCCTGGCCACAACCACCATGCCCTGGCTCTCCTTGGCTCTCACTGTTCCTTCCCTTTTAATCTCAACCAACCCCAGCCCTCTGGCTTTTCAAGGCTCCAAACACATGCCACCTCCTCCTAGGAGCCTCCCCGGTGTTGGAATCCACGGTGATTCTCACCATCTCAGCTCTGAGAACCAGGCCAAACAGATTTTTGTACAGTCATTGTGGAGCAGTCTGTTATTTGAGGATAATTTCTTTCACCAACCCAGACTATCCAGAAGTTTCTCAAGATCAGACAGACTCAATTTTTCTTCTGCATCTCCCCATGTCTTCTGGGTACACAGCAGGTGCTCAACAGATCCAGAACTGCACTGGTTGATTTCTAATCAAAGGCCTTGATCTTCCCTCATTGTGGGGAGACCCCCTTTCCATCTGCTTCCTTAGGATCTGATGTTCATACAGCAGCTTCTATGAGGCTGGATGAAGATCCCCAAGTTAAAAATACCCCAAGCTAGGCACACTGGGGACTGTGGGGAGACACACTGCCCCCACTCCGTGGCAGTTGCCTGAGTGTCCCATGGCCCCTCACCCACCTCTTCAGACCCACAGCTGACTAAAGGTCACATTCCTCCAGTCTATTTCATGGCTCAGGCGTAAGAAGTGCTTTTCACAGTGGGAGCTTTCAGAGAGCTGTGGGAAGGGAACAATAGTGCTCTCTTCTAGGCAGAATGCCTCTTGCCTTCTCGACAGGAGCTTTCTTGGCTCTCTCTGTGCTGGGAAAGCAAATTTAGAGCCTGAAGCCTTATCACCTGCAGGGAGGGGCCCAGCCTTCATCTCCTAAACCGAGATGGGAGACTACCAGTGAGCCTTAAAGACATGTGATTCCACGTGAAGCCTGCTCTCCTAGCAACAGAACCAAAGAACCCACCACACCACCTGTGGCTGAAAATGTACACTAGTGAACCAAACACACACCCCTGCCCCCACTGGAGACTCTGAAGCAGCGACTGTTGCTTTTTCAGAGACCTTTTGGTTTTGACCTAGGGAAGGAAGAGATCAAGGTCTTACACTCACATTCTGTAAGTCAGGGACCTCACAACAAAATTCACAAGAAACTGAAGACGGGCAGATTTGAGTCTGTAAGAAATAAAATTCTTCTGATTCAAGATGGGAGACATCTTGATTTAGAGTTCAGATGGGATAAGACCCATGTGTCCTTTGGCTTTGGGCTCGGCTCCAGTGAGGTGACACTCTCAGAAAGGTGAGTATGTGAGGAAGGCAGGACCTCTGACATCACTCACCTTTAGATCCAGGTACTCCAGGTCTTTCTTCAGCTGGAGGTAGGTATCATCAGCCTTCAAATGAAGCAGAGAGGGGGAAAAAGAAAACAATTATGAACACCCAGAGTTTCCATAACTCAAGGTTTCCCATGTGAATTAATTTACATGTGAAGCTCTGGGAACAAGGAACCACAGCAGACCAACACATCAGGGGCCACAGAGGAAGCACAAATGTCTCAGTGCAGCTGAGAGCCCTCTTTCAGCATGGCGAAACTGGTGGGTGTGCCACTGGATCATGGCAGATTTTCAGCTAGTCCCCCACTGGCTCGGGGAAGAATTTGGCAGGGAGGATCCTACTGCAGGGCTAGGGCAGCTGAGGCAGTGCTGTGCTCCCAAGACACACATGGGAGGTCCACCTGGAGGAGCACATGACACACCTGTGCTAGAGTGCTCCAGTCATTCTATCCCTCAAACCTTTGGTCTGGGTCACTTCACATGCATGAAGTAAGATGAAGCTCAATGGTGTGAATGAATGCCTGGAAGAGGCAGGGAGATGACCTGGGTGACCCAGGAGGTCCCAATATAACCTTGGTTTCCAGAATGATAACCACCAGCAGCTGCTGGAAGTTTCCTGCTAGTTTTGGTTCTTTTTGCTCAGCATGGAGCCAACGTGACCATGTCAGGAGCTACTTGAGGCAGGTGCAAGATCAGACCTATCTGTCAAGTTCTTCAGTATAATTACCAGAAATGGTGAAAAAGAAAAAGAAAAAGACTCTTTGATTTCCTAAAACTCATGCCTTCCTATGGAACAGATCACAGAAGCTAACTGTGAGGCAGAGGAGTTGTGAAAGCTCAAGAAAAATAATCCAGGCACCACCTTCTCAGCAGACTAAGAGGGTCCCAGCCAAGCAAGCCAGGGCTGGGCCAGGTGGCCCTTGCTTATAGCTCTGAGGTAAGACAGTCACATAGACGAACCACACGGAGAGTTCACACAGTGCTCTTACGCATGGGAATGCTGGAAGGACAGCCATCAGGGGCACTACCGGCTTACAAGGTCTTATTCGTACTAACCCCTTACCCATCCATACTTCCCAAACAGCTCAATCCCTACACACTTGCCATAGGAATAAGGACAGAGCAGAAGAAGGTTATTAAAGATCACTTAGATTCACAACTAATAGTGTTTGTACTGACATTCATTTTTCTGAATATATTTCCTAAATCCCTCATAACTCACTAAAACAGAACAAGGAAGGAAGGTAACAGTTCTGCCACCCTCCTCATCTGTCCTTTGCCTACTTCTGTACAGCCTGGAGGATCAGCCTCATATGGCCGAACTTATTCCTGCCCGAGGACAGCCCCAGGGAGGAATCCTCTTCTTCAATCCTCCTGCTTAAGATACCGGGGAGGGCAGCCCCCTAGCCAGTCCTTGAGAAGCTTGCCTGCAAAGCCCAATGTCCTTGCAACAGTTTAGAACATGGTGTCTTGCAGGCTGGATTTTTGCTGCAGCCCGCATGCTTCTTGCTGAGGGATCCTGAGCAAATCACTTCCCCTTCTGGTTCCTCTTGCCTGTGTGTGGTCCTGACTCCTGTCCTCCCTAACCTCTTCCAGCTTACTGTGAGGCTCAGCAGGATATGAGATGAGAAGATGCTCTGTGAGGCAGCAGGGCACTGTCCAGATAAGAGAGGGCGCCCTGCACCCTCCCTCCAGGCTGACGCACACATGCCTTTCCACATCCCAAGGAGTAGCCATGGGGCAGCAAGGCTGTCAGCCAGCACAGCCCTTTGAACTTGACCACACATCAGCCTGGCGGTCACTACTTATACCAGAGAAGCGAGAGTTTAGGTCCCTACACCACATGCAGCACCCCCCTCCCCAGCACTAGAGGGTAGGCTTGGCCTCCACCAACATACAGTGTCTGGCAGTAGCATCCAGAAGCAAACAGCCAGCGAACAAGGAAGAGCCAGACAGCAGAGACAGACCAGAACAAGGGCACGAGCGAACACGAGCCAGCATGTCACTCCCTGCCCCCAGCCCTGAGACAGCCCACCAGCGCTGACCTGGCAGGTGGGAAAGGTCAACTGGTGCTGCAGTAACTGGCCGATGGCGAAATTTCGCACACTGGCCAACTTGGCCTGGTGCCGCCTTAACCGGGTGAGAAGCAACGAGAGCTCCTCCAGCTGCAGGTGTGTAGACACAGCACAAGCACGTTAGCACCACAGGAGCACGCCACTAGAATTATGCTCTTCACCCCGGTGCCAACGCCAGGACAGCACTGATGTGACACCATTAAGCAATTACAGTCTCTCAACGCCTCAGAGTTCTCATCTTTAATCCTGTCATTAGGACAAATAAAGGGACTGGCAGCAAAGGGGTTGCAGGAAGTTGTTTTTTCAGGAAAGCAACAGCCAATAGTGCAACCTCAAACCTCACCCAGACTCAAGCGTTTTTTTCTTCTTCCGCTTCTTCTTTGAGACAGTCTTGCTGTCACCCCGGCTGGAGTGCAGCAGTGTGATCGCGGCTCACTGCAACCTCCGCCTCCTCGGTTCCTGTGTCTCGGACTCTTAAATAACTAGGATCACAGGTGTCCACCACCATGCTCGGCTATTTTTGTATTTTTAGTAGAGACTGGGTTTTGCCATGTTGACCAGGCTGGTCTCGAACTCCATGCCTCAAGTGATCCACCCACCTTGGCCTCCCAAAGTGCTAGGATTACAGATATGAACCACCATGCCTGGTCTTAGACTCGAGCTTTGAAGATAGAGTTAACTAGTTAACTGATCAAAGATTAGGGAAGAAAGGAGAGGCACCACCTGTGGGGGAAAAAAGGTGGGTAGCTGGAAAATGTTTCAGCAAAATTCAATTCCAAAGAGGAGATAAGCCTAACATTCCCCTGTACTTCCCCCACAAGCTCTTCCCCCTCTCTGGGGAGGACCCAGTGACAGCCAGGTGACCCTAAGCAAGTCATTCGACTTCTCTGAGCCTCAGTTTCCTCATCGCAAAGATGGAGGTTGATAACTGCCCTCTGGACTGCATTGTACAGACTCAGAGAAAGGAGAACATTGATGAGATACAGCTTTGCAGGCTGTGTCTTGTCATTCGCCTTACCGATTTTCCATGTAAACTGGGAGCGCTGACCGTGTGGGTCATGTAACCCATGGAGGGCATGGAGCGTCGGTCCACGTGAGATGAGTTCTGCAAGTGGGGAGACAAGAAGTCACACTGGAGTCCAAACCTCTGCCACTCACTCCCAGGGCAGCCCGCCCCACGCCACTTCCCCTCTGAGCCCCCAACTCTTCATCTGTGAAATGAGCACACGCATCTTACTCTCTGGGTTAGAACACTAAACTGTGAATGCCCCTTGGAATGTGTAAACTTAAGCTAGGTTGTTATGAATGATTGAACGGACTGAACACAGATGTCTTTTCCTGCCTTCCCAGCTGCAAGGAAGCTGACTTGTAGTTGTATGACCCCGAGGAAGTTACTCTGTCTCTCAATGCCTCAGAGTTCTCTTCTTTAAAATGGGCATAAGCATAGCACCTACCTCGCAGGGTGAGAATTTAAAATGAAGCCTTTGGGAACTGCGCCTGGCATCTATTATTAAAAAGTACTGCCTAAGTGTTAGCTATTATTATCGCAAATTACTCAAATTTGTGTTTAAACCAGGCAAGGCTCCTGGCGCCCTCACGCTGACCCAGCAGCCTGGCAGAGCTTCCCGAGCCTCACCTTGACAGCGTGGCCCCGTGCCTTCCTGGGAGAATCCCCCAGTGAGATGTCCACACTCCTCCTCTGGTCCGGTGGCTTCACTGTGACCCTCTCTGCTGGTGTGTGTGGCCGCCGGGGTGGGAAGACCCTCGGGGGTCCCGGGGGAGGGATGTCTGAGGGAGATGGAGGCACAGAGATGGAGCGGGGCACCTCCAGCATGCTCCTGCTCCGGCCCTGGTCGGTGAACTCTGGGGAGCCGAGGCAGATGGGCGCCGTGGGGCTGCCATGCCGGAATTGCTGGCGCTGCTGCCACTCATAGAGCTGCCACACAGTGCCATCCCGGTGCGCCCGGCGCTCTTCACTCGACATCTTCAGGTGGCTGGCTCGATCCTGCGCGTACTTGTAGTCACTTGGCAGGTTTCGGGGAGGCGGTGAGGAGCCCCCTGATGGGTGTCGGGTGCTCTTGGGAAGAGTCTGGTAGTTTTCTGGGAAGGACAGGGATTGGCCAGGACCCTGGCGAGGAAGTGTCTGGTCCAAGGGAAGGCTGAGGAGAAAGGGGAAGGATGGGTCAGGCAACCAAGCAAGGGGTCTGCCAGGCTTTGGGGAACATAGCTAAGTACACCCACAAAGCTGGGCATGTGGAAGAGTCCTATAAGAACCCCAAAAGAATGATCAAGGCCAACATCCAGGACTTCAGTCACTTCCCCTTTTTGCAGAAGACTCCAAAACCATTTTTCTCTGTCAACTTCCTCTGCCAGGACAACTTGGCTACCCCATGCCCATCACTTGGAGTGCAACGTAATTAAGCCTGGCTCTTCCTTCTCTCTCCGCTGCCAGCAGTCAGCTCTTTCAACGGCTGTGCATATTTATAGGAAAGGCCTCATAATTCTCCAGGCTACCAAGACTGTCCTTCTGCCTGGTATCCTAGCACCAGATTCTGGAGGTTCATAAAGGAAGTGGCTGGCATCAGTTCTTTCTTTTTTCTGGACTCTTCTAGTCCAGATTCTGATTAATTATCTCCCTCCAGGCAACTTTGAGATGCTCCTAATGAGTTTCCACTTTGTCCGCAGTAAGTGCTCTGATCAAATCAGTTCCTTGCTCTAAAAACTTCATAGTTCCTTATCACTTGTGAAATAGTCTAAACTCCTCATCCTGGTACTCACAGCTTGCTAGCAGCTAACCTCAACCTGCTTTTCTCACTGCTCTTCCTACCAGGGCCACGCCTAGGCCCCAAAACTGAAGGAGGCACTCCATCTCAGGGGCACCCCTACACCTGCTGGTGCCTGACGGTCAGCCTCACCCTAGTCCTGGCCCAGCCTCCTCCACACCTGAGCAACATCTTGCAGTGGAAAAAGGAAAGGTAGGAGCCTAACCTGCATTTGAATCGGAGCTTTACGTTTGCTGGCTTTGTGACCGTAGGCAGCTTACCTGACTGCTCTGAACTTCCATTTCCTTGTTTATAACGTGAGGACAGTATTACCTGCCTCATAAGGCTGTTTGAGGAATCAGTGAGACAGGTTAGGAAATGCACCCTCTATGTCTGACACACAGAAGTTCCTTCACTAACATGTGTGTCCTTCCTGCCCCCTTTATTCTTATAACACTGTTCTTCCCTTCTCCTACCTGGATGGTCTCCCCTTGCTCCATTTACTGAAATCTTACTCATTCTCGAGGATGCCAGCCCATGCCTTCCCCACATGAACCTTCTGCAGTGCCACAGCCCTCAATGATCCAGCTCTGCTTGACCTAGTTATCACACTGCCTGTAACTTTTCCAAGGTCCTGTATTGAGGTGATCTTTTCAAACTTGCAAGACATCTCTTCCCAGGCCAAGGTGAAAATTCTTGAAAGACAGGAACTGTGTTTCACACTATGATATTGTCCACAGTCTAAGAAAGTCCTGACACATAATCAGCCCTTCAATAAACACTCCAGCACACAAAGCTGGATGTAATTTCAAAAACAACCACCAAGTACCCATCTTCTTTTTCTTTCTTTCTTTCTTTTTTTTGAAACAGAGTCTCACTCTGTCAACTAGTGCAGTGGCGCAGTCTCAGCTCGCTGCAATTTCCGCCTCCTGGGTTCAAGGGATTCTCCTGCCTCAGCCTCCTGAGTAGCTGGGACTACAGGTGTGCACCACCATGGCCGGCTAATTTTTTTTTTATCTTTAATAGAGATGGAGTTTCACTGTATTAGCCAGGATGGTCTTGATCTCCTGACCTCATCATCTGCCCATCTTAGCCTCCCAAAGTGCTGGGATTACAGGCGTGAGCCACTGTGCCCCACCATCCTCTTATTTTCTTCTGGAGTCTCCCACTTTTGCCCAGGCTGGAGTGCAGTGCTGCAATCTTGGCTTGTTACAACCTCTACCTCCCAGGTTCAAGTAATTCTCCTGTCTCAGCCTCCCAAGTAGCTGGAACTACAGGTGTGCGCCACCATGCCTGGCTAATTTTTGTATTTTAAATAGAGATGGCCAGGCTGTCTATTAAACACCATGTTGTCCAGGGTGGTCTTGAACTCCTGGCCTCAAGTGATCCGCCCTCAGCAGCCTCCCAAAGTGCTAGGATTACAGGTATGAGTCACCACTCCTAACCTCCATCTTATTTTCTAAGAAGGAAACAAAATTCAGCAGGGGACAAAGTATGGAGTTTTACTAAGCCTGAGAGGCAGCATGATGTTGTAAAAAGAGAACAAGTTTTAGAGATGAACAGAGCTGAGTTCAATTCCGACCCTGCCTTTACCCATCCATTTGATCTAACAGACATTATTTGCTGCTGACATTGTTCCAAGCCAACACCACTCAAAGTGTAACCTGTGTGCCAGCGGCATCAGCATCACTTGGGAACTTGTCAACAATACAGGTTAGTGAACTAACCCAGGCACAGAAAGACAAACACGGTGTATGACCTCACTTATACGTGGGATCTGTAAAAGTCAAAGTCATAGAAACAGTAGAGAAGTGGTTACCAGAGGTTTGGGAAGGAGAGGAGGAGAGAAGGAAGAAGAGCTGTTGGTCAAAGGGTACAAAGTTTCAGTTAGGAGGTGAAGTGGCTAATAATAAAGGAGATTTTATATTTCAAAATTACTAAAAGTAGATGTTAAATGTATATGGTGGGAATGTAAATTAGTTCAACCATTGTGGAAGACAGTGTGGCGATTCCTCAAGGACCTAAAAATAGAAATCCCATTTGACCCAGCAATCCCATTACTGGGTATATATCCAAAGGATTATAAATCATTCTACTACAAGGACACGTGCACACGAATGTTCATTGCAGCACTGTTTACAATAGCAAAGACCTGGAACCAACCCAAATGCCCAACGATGATAGACTGGATAGGGAAAATGTGGTACATATACACCATGGAATATTATGCAGCCATCAAAAACGATGAGTTCACGTCCTTTATAGGGACATGGATGAACCTGGAAACCATCATTCTCAGCAAACTGACACAAGAGCAGAAAATCAAACACCGTATATTCTCGCTCATAGGCGGGTGTTGAACAATGAGAACACATGGACACAGGGAGGGGAGCACTACACACTGGGGTCTGTTGGGGGGAAATGGGGGAGGGGCGGGGGGTGGGGAGGTGGGAAGAGATAGCATGGGGAGAAATGACAGATACAGGTGAGGGGACGGAAGGCAGAAAACCACACTGCCATGTGTGTACCTATGCAACAATCTTGCATGTTCATCACATGTACCCCAAAACCTAAAATGCAATAAAAAAAAAAAAATGTTCTAACCACCAAAAAGGATAAGCAGGTAAGGTGATGAATATGTCAGTTGGTTTGATGTAATCATCTCACAGTGTTTACATATACAAAAAAATGTGCCCCATACATACAATTATTATTTATCAATGTAAAATAAGGTAAATTTTTAAAATGCTGGTTATCAGCCCCATCTCAGACCTACCTAATCAGAAACTCTGGGAATGGGGCCCAGCCATCAGTGTCTTAACAAGCCCTCCAAGAGATTCTAGCGCTCTGTAAAGTTTGAGAAACTGTTCTAATTGTTTTAAAACTCAACTCACTTAATCACACTTTTGCTACTTGACCTCAGGCAAGTATCAGCCAAGTCCTCTAAGTCTTATTTTCCTTATTATAAAATGGGGATAGTAAGAACCTCAGACCTACCTAATCAGAAACTGGGGATGGGGCCCCAGTCATCAGTGTCTTAACAAGCCCCCCAGGAGCTTCTAGTGTTCTGCAAAGTTTGAGAAACTGTTCTAATTGTTTTAAAACTCAACTCATTTGATCACAGATAAGCTACATAACCTCCGGCAAGTATCAGCCAAGTCCTTTAAGTCTCACTTTCCTTATTATAAAATAGGGATAGTAAGAACCACTTAGTAAATTGTTGTGAGAATTTGAAATAGTTGTCATTCAAATAAAGCTATCTTTGCCATGGCAGGAGTTAATTTTAAGATCTCTTCAACCTCCTTGTCACGCCTGCCAAGTTAGTCTGCCTGCCACTAGGTGGCGGGGTTTGCTATGGATTTCCCAAAGTTAGACACGAATGTGCCTCTGAGACAGGGCAGTGCCTGAAACCTCAAAACAGAGGTGGTAGCGGTGGGGGGAATCAGGCTGGAGGCTTCCCCTGGGGAGTTCAGGACTTTACTAACCATTGTTCATTCTGCCAGAAGCAAAATGCAAACTATGCAGAGCATTTCAGAGCTGTGCTCCCACCCATACACCCTTCCAGGCTGGCTCTGCTGCTCACTCCCCTGCCTGCCTACAGTGCCTGGAAGGTCAGAGTCCACCCTCACCTCCCCACTATCCTCCTAGCAGCACCCCAAATCCCTGATCACCCTCTAATGTGTACCCTCCATTTACACATTGTTTGCCACTTCGGAGTGACCCTAAGGTACCAGTACAATGGCGAGCCCTGGCTCCAGGGACCAAACCAAGGAAACTGGCTGTGGACGAGGGACACAGGAGGTGGTACTGTGGTTAAGGTATAGACCCTATGGGAGCAAGTGGGAGCTTCCAGAGCAGCTTTGCCCCTAATAGCAGATCCATTTGCTGGCCCCAACCCCCCATATTACCCAAAAACTGGGCTTAAGGTCTCCTCACACCATGCTCTGTGGCCACAGACCCTCCCTTCACTAAACAGGCAGTAAGCAGGATATTCTGATACAGCCACTACAGAAATGGTCACGTGCAAATGCAGTATCATTTTTTACAACCAATTCTTATATGTTATGCAGCAGATGTTCCTTACTCTAACTTCAAGATCAGTCACACAGGATTTCCATTTTCTACTCTGTTCGTTATTGCAGTGTTTGAGTCTCCTGAACCTACCTCTGTCCCCCACCCGAACCTTTCTATTTTGTAAGTATGCATTGCTTTAAATGCTGGGAGGTTGGGGTGGGAAAATGAAAGCAGAAAATTTCAAAATAAGCTTTTAGAAAAATTCTAAGAGTATGTCAGTCTGTCTCCCACAAACCATATTCTAAAAACGCTTAATGATGTGAAATACGTATGTTCAATTAGAAATAATTCCCTGTTGGTCTAAAGCCAAAAATACAGGATCA